CCCCTCGGCACCCCGGGTGCCGCCGCCACGCGCGCCCCGGCGGGCGCAACCTGTGGCTGCCAGGCGCCTCGCTGCAGCCACCGGTGAGGGGCGGCTGCGGGCGGGGGAAACGATGCCAGTGTTCATAAAGCAGCTGCGCATCCACAGGCTTTTAGAGAAGAAGTCATGAATAATTGAGCTCCCGTTCGCTAGGAAGAAAATACCCTAATAGGGCTAATGGAGCGCTGCTAAAAAACTTGACTCTGGGGGGACCTGTATTCACCAATTGCTTTGGATGCTAAGCGTCGACACTCCCCTAATGAAAAAAAAAAAACACAGCTGTGCATGTCTTATAGCTGTCCAAGGGAACCCTAACAACCCAGAGCTTGTCATTTTAATGAGCAGGATCCCCAGAAGTCGGGTGAGTCCGAGCTGCCGGGCGGCGCAGGGCTGGATGCGCTCGGGGCCCGGTGGCACCCGGTGGCTCCGTGGGCGCGGAGGAGGCAGCTCCCGGTGTGCGAGGGGTGCGTTTGTCTGGGCAGGGGTCTGTGCGCCCCCAGCCACACAGCGGGGCCTGCCGGGGGCTGCGGGGATTTCCTGCCCAAGGTAACGCAGGGCTCGTTTGGTTGGGGGTGTTTTCGTTCGTGGTGGTGTTTTTGTTCCGTTGCAGGCAGGGTGTGAGATGTGGGGTGTGGGCTGCAAAGTTCCCGGTCTGCCCTTGGAGGGGGGCACCGACCTCGGGCTCGCCGCTGCCTTTTGGCACCACGGCACCGCTCGCTGCGCCCTCGGAGCGCCCTGCAGCTCTGGGTGCCGGGGTCCCCGCGGGCTGGGGACGGGGGGTGCTCGGGGGTCCTGCCTGCAATCCTCCGCAGAACAGCTCCTGCTTTGGCGTGTCGCTGCCTGGGCTTTGGCAGCTTTTCCAGCCCCCCGCTGGGGCACTGCTTCTCGCCCCTCCGTTAGCACCAAGTTTTTGCTAATAAGTTGCCCGCGGACGCACCCAGCGCTTTCGTGCTCTGCCTTGCCGCCTGCTGATGTCGCTCAGCCAAAAATCAGAGAGGTGTCAAAACAGGGCACGCAGTTAATTACCACCTCGCTCCTCGGAGCAGCTCGCCTCACCCCCACCGACTTCATCCGCTGCCTTAATTTAATTGCAGCGAGATGAAGCCCGAGGAGTGTGCAGCAGCGCTGGGCGCTCCTTTGATTTTCCCGGCTGCTGTGGAGCGAGGGGAGCCCTTGGGGCCGGGGAGCTGCCGGCACCACGGGGTGAAAGCCCTCGGCCACGGGGAAGGGCTCCGTGCCGGCACTGCCAGCTGCAGGCCCCAGCTCCGAGGCACAGCGGAAAGAGCTGGGTGGGCGCAGGAGGTCGGAGAGGTTTTGCTTCCCATGCTGCTGCCCCCAGGAGAGGGGATCCTCTTTTTGTATTTCCCTGCACTGTCGGAACTCTTGCTGCGTGATTTTCCTGAGCAGGAGGAGTGCTACGGTATTTTCAGGCACATTGTTTATCGCTCAAACTCCCCAGGGTTTTCAGTAATTCCTTGCAAGTTAATGCTCTTCTTTTTCTTTTTTTTTTTTTTCCTCTTTTTCTGCTTTTTTTCATGAGGTCACACTTCATTGGAAGAGCGCGCGCTGTTTCAAGCTGCCATAAAAAAACTTCTTAGGGAAAAAAGAAAAAAAAACAATGCCAGCAGTGGGGAGGGGGCACAGCCAGGGCCCGTTGAGACCCCCCAGACACGCAGCTCGCTCAGGCCCTGTGTGCAGTGCGTGTTCCAGAGAGCAGCAGGGAAATCAATGCCACCTCCTCGGTGCTGCCACCAGCGAGGTCGCAGGCGCTGCCGCGGGGAGCTGGGCGCCTCCGGCCGCACTCGGCGCCGCGCTGCTGCTGCAGGGAAGGATTTGGCTGGCGGCACGGGCTGCAGCAGCCTGCTGCGAGCACCACGGGCACCCCGAGGGCTGCCAGCGAGCGCCCAGCACCTGCGGCCCTTCTGCAGGACTCCTGCCCCACGGGAGCCCCGCGTGGCCGTGCGTCCTCGCTGGCCAGCGAGCGTGGCCCATGTGCAGGCACCAGCTTCTGCCAGGAGCTGCAGCAGCGCTCGTCCCACCCCAGCCAGCTCCAGGGGCCGCCCGTGTCCCTTTGCTGGATGTTCCTTAGGGAAAGGCAAACCAGTCACAGCCCGGTCGGTGCCCGCCGCAGAAGCAGAGCCGTGCCTCGAGGTGGGCACGTGGCAGGCTGCAGCACGGCCCCCAGCTCAGCACCATCACAGCAGGAGCCCCAGGACCCCGCTGCATCGTGCAGTGCTTGTACCCACGCCGTGCCATCCCATGCCATGCCAGGAGGGCAGCGTGGTGGTGCTGAGCCTCCCGTGAGCACCCCATGCGCCAAGCCTGGCAGCCCCCCTTCCATTCCCCTCCCTGCTGCTGCGCCGCATTTGCCATTTCTTTTGCTCGTTGCCTTTCCTCTGCAGACTTCTGTTCCGCTTAAGCCCGTTGTTTTGCCCCTTGTCCCCTCCCCGGGCCGCGTGAGGGGCAGACCTGCTGGGGGTCCCCACGAGGCCGGGCACGAGGTCGGGTCCCCGGGGTGCCACGGTGCTGCGGGAGGTCGTGGCGGCTGCCCGGCTCTCTCCGAAGCACCCCTGAGCCCTCGCCGCCCGGCCGGCCCGCAGCAGCCCCCGCGCTCGGGCAGCAGGATGCTGTCCATGACGTACAGCGAGAGCCTGCGCAGCGTGGTCAGCCGGCACCACCCGGACTGGGGGCTGCAGCAGCCGCGGCGGGCGGACGCGCTGGAGCTGCGGCGGCTGCGGGACGTCCGCGCGGCGGCGCAGGCCAAGACGCTGGAGGAGTTCCTGCGGACGCACGGGCTCTCGCTGGACGGCTGCACGGCCCGCGCCACCGGCATGAAGTACAGGTAAGGGGCCGCGGCCACCCGGGGCAAAGCGTCGTGCAGGAGCAGGGGTGCCGGATGGGCACCGAAATCCCGGTGGTGCCAGCGCTCGGTGCGGTGCCGCGCGGTGCTTCCTGCCCAGCCAAACGTGGCAGTGGTTTCTCTCTCGATGCCGGTGCGATCCTCTCCAGTCCCTCGAGGGAAGGAGAGCTGGCGTGGTGCGTGCAGGGGCGCCTTGCTGCCTCGCTCGCTCGATGGTGCTCGTGAAGCTTCCCGGCTTCTTTTTTGCTTTTCCTTCGGTGTCGGTGGCAAGTTCGGAAGTGCAAATGTATTTTGCGCAACCGCGCGGCCCTGGCCTTTCGCAGTGTTTGCAGGAGGATTTAATGTGTGCCTCCGGGTGCCCTGTGCTCCCCCGGCCTCACCGACTGCAAAATTAAACACCGACGCCGGGAGGGGGTAGGATAAAGCTGAGAAAATGTCCTGCTGAGCCGGAAAGCTGCCTGCGAGCCCAGGGACAGCTGGCACTGCATTAATTTTGCATGTAGGTCCAGGGCGCGGGGTGGTGAGCGGGTATCAGTGTTTCAGCTCGCTCCTGTCCCTCTCATTACGGCACCGTCGCCAGAGGGGGGATGCGCCGAGCACCCGCAGCTTCCCAGCGCGGCCCCCAGCCTTCACGCCCCCGCAGGGGAGAGGGCAGCAAGGGCGAGGAGCTGTCCTGGCCGCTTAACAAAAAGCAGAGGTAGCATTTACACGTCGCAGCAGCCCATTTAATATTCATGCAGCAGTTATTTATTGATGGAGTGCACCAGCAGGCACGGCCCTCGGGCACCTCCTCGCTCGGGGCCATCCACGGCCCAGGGGACAGTTTGGGGGAGCTGCTGGGGCTGCTGCTGCAGACCCGTGGCCGTCCCTTGTGCTGGTGGCTGTGGGCAAAAGCTTCTGGCAGCAGCGTTAATCTGGGCTCAGTGCTGCGGGCGGATTAGCGCAGGGCTGGTGGGGGCACAGAGCTCCCCCCGCAGCTGGGGGATGCAGAAGTGCCCACGGGGAAGGTGCCCGCCTGGGTCAGCCACAGCAGCAGGAGTCCTGGTGGGGAGCTCAGCAGGATTCCCCCACCGGGGCTGGGGGCTGCTGGCGCTGCCACCCGCGGATTACCCAACCCCGCCGCCCGCACCGAGGAGCTTTGAGGCAGAGGGAAGCCCGAGCAGATCACAAGTTGTCTCGGTGCATCGGAGGCTGATTTATGTAATCCCCCTGCACGCCCCCGTAAGCCCGTCCCCAGCCCCGAGCCGTTTTCCTCCTGCTCCAGAAATGAGCGCACGGCACTGCGCTGCCAGGCTGGCTGCTGGCTGCCTCGGTGCTTCCCCTCCTGCTCTGGCCACGATTTCCCAGCCGTGGGAGCTGCCTGCTGGGGCACGGCCGCGTGTCCCCCCCGGGCAGCACAGCCACTCGTGTCCTTCCTTCAGCAGCAGACGCTGGAATTGGGTTTCGGTTTGATTGATTGGGGCATCTCCGCGGGCTGCGCGTTTACCCGTTAATAATGTTCTTTTTAATGTGCAAACACTCCTGCCAGAGATTTTAAATCTGACTTGGATCAGCTTAGGAGCAGAGGCACGGCACTGTTACTGCACGGCTGCAGGATGCAAACAGACCCCTTCACGGCCAGGGGCTCCCTTCCCTGTCGCCGCCTGTTTCACCCCAAAAGCCACGTCCTGCAGCTGCACGGGGGGAGCAGCACCTGCAGGGTGGAGGCAGGGATGGGGGCCGGCCACTGGGACCCCAGGATTTTGGCCCTGGTGGCAGCGGGGGGCAGCCCCCTGGGTCTCTTTGCTGGGCAGGAGCTGGGAATGCAGGGTGGTCAGCACTCCTCCACGGAGAGAGGTTCAGAGGGACGAGGTGCAGGCAGATAATTCGAGAGGCTTTCCAGCAGCCCTTCAGAAATAAAAGGGGGTGTGCGCCTTCCCGGCACGGAGCGGCTGGAAGTGGTCATGTTTCTGCCTCCCCACCTGCTCTGACAGGGTTTGTTTGCTTCCTAAAACTCATCAAATATTGATGGCCCGGAGCTGATATAAGCTGGGTCTCTCGATCCAGCCCCGCAGCCGTCATGTTGGCTGAGTGATGCTTCGCAGACGTTAGGAGGAGGGCCCTGCTTCGCAGAGTTTGCCGTCTAAATTTAGGCTGCTGCCGCTGCTCCCTGCCGCCTCCGCGGCCGCGGGAGGGTCGCGGGAGGCGAGGGGCGCCCGGCGGGCGATGCCGGGGGGCCGCAGCGCAGCGCAGAGCCCTGGCCACGAGGTGCCCAGGACACCGGCCCCACGGGGGGCACGCAGCCCTCTCCCCCACGCAGCTGGGGCGTAGGGACGCTCCCCACGGCACGGACCCACCGGCAGCATCGGCGACGCTCGGCGGAGACCCCCGGGGTCTGCGTGTCCAGGAGGGGGCTGGAGGCAGAGGACAGCACCGCGACGTCCCCAAGTTTGCCTTTAACCCTTGGACAGGAGAGCAGCGGCGCTGAGAGCGAGCACGCGGCGTCTGCTGGCTGCCCTCTCCTCCGGGATCTGCGCGCTCCTGGGGGAAGCCCTCCCCGTTATCCTCACCCCTGACGCTCCGCAGCGCGCCCGGGAAGAGCGGCTGAGCCCCCGGGAGGGAAGGGAGCCTTCCAGCCCGCACCGCGGGGCACCATGCAGGTCTCCTTTGTGTGCTCCGAGCACAGCATAAAGAGCCGGAGCGCGGAGGACCGGCTGAACCGGCAGAATGCCAGCAGCCCCAGCCTCGGCACGCGCAGCAAATTCCGGGCAGTGGCCATGGTCGCCCGGAGCCTGGGGCAGCTCTCGGTGCAGAACGCGCCGTCCTCCAGCGAATCCAGCGTGAAGCAGCCGGGGATGAAATACAGGTAGGAGAAGGACGCGCTGCTGCTCGCCCGGGGAGGTGCGCTGCTGGTTCGGGCGCGTTTGGTACCCCTGGCTGTGATTTGTGCAGGAGGGAGGCTCGGGGATGGGGGTGTATTGTTCCCATCCTCCTGCTCCAGGTTTCTTGGAGCTACAAGTGCTGGTCTGCGCCGGGTGTGCATCGCTCGCCTTCGTTTCCTCCCTCGCAGTTTGCTGTCTTTCCCCTCTCAGTACGGTTTCGGTCCAACCTAATGCAAAAGCAGTGGAATGGGAAGGGGAAAAGTAGCCCAAAAATGCAGGTTGGGGTTTAGGAGGACCCGTGGTGCCTGCTGAGCCTGTGGGAGCAGGCAGCGGCTGAGCTGGGGAAGTTGGAGACTTGGTGGCACACGCTTGTTCGTGGGCTGTGAAGGCATCGGGGGCTTTGCAGCGCTGCACTCGCAGCCCCAGGGAGCGTGTGCTGAGCTGTGAGAAGTGTTCGGAGCCTGTCCGTGTGTGCGGGTCTGGAAATGAAGCACGGCGTGTGCACGGCGTGCCCTGCCAGCACAGCCTGGGTTAACACGCTCGGGCAGGGGATCCCCACGTAGCTGAGCCCCCACCGAGCCCCAGCTGATCCCTGCAGCGTGCGCCCGCTCCAGCCCAGATGCGAACGGTGCTGGGATGCAAAACGCATCAGGCAGGCGCACCGCTGGCATGAGATCAGCCGTCGCCCTCTGTTATCTTCCTAATTAGCCACGTCCCCCTCCATGGCGTGGCTGCGTGCACTGCCCAGGGCTTGGGGTGCCCGCTGGGGGGGGGGCTCAGCTCAGGCAGCTGGGCAGGGTGGGCTCAGCACCACCCCGGGGTGCGGAGAGCGGGCATGGGCACTGCCACAGCCAGGTCTCAGCGGTGAAACCACAGACAAAATGCATCCTGTGCGCTGCTCTCCCCCTGCCTGGTTCCTCTCCCAGCAGGCAGACGTGCTTCCAGCTCCCTGAGCCACCCCTGTGCCAGGCAGTGACCTGCTCGGGTGGCTGCCAGAGCCAGGGTCCCTCCAAGAGCCTTGGGAGGTGACGGTGATGGTGGCACTACACCTGCACCGGGGCCACCGAGCTCTCCAAACACCCCCGCTCTCCTCCAGTCAAAGGCTCCTTGCAAACAGGTGCCATAAAAGCCATCCACCATGCGGGGGGATGCCCGTTCCCTGAAATTCCCGTGTGTGGCCTCCCCAGGTAGCTGCACGTGTCTCGGTTTGGCGACCAATCCATAAACTTCTGCGCAGGGAAGCTGTGAGCGGAGGCGCTCCCATCACCCCTGTGCCAAGGGGCTGCGCTCAGGGGGGCTCCCGGAGCGGTCCCGGTGCCCATGTGGCGTGACACGGGTCGGGCGAGCCATGGCTCTGCTCCCCTGTGCATCGCAGCCCCACGTCCCTGGCGTTCACCGTGCTGACAGCCCGTGGCGATCGCCGCTGCCCTCTGCTAAGCAGGCTAAAAATAAAACGGGTTTGGAGACGTGGAGCATCTGCTGCGTGGCGTGGGAGCAGCCCGTGCCTTCCAGATGTTGGACAATAATGCAGCAGCGCAGAAATGAAGCGTCCTGATTAATCCCAGCCTGAAATTAATAAACGGCATCGCCGTCCTGCGGCTCTGCTCCATCCCTGTGCCCCCCAGCATCGGGCAGAGCCGGGGGGCGCGGGGGGCCGCGGGCCCTCGCAGTTGCTACGCGACTCGGCTCCGGCAGCCGCGCGCGGGCGGGCTGCAGCAGCTCACCTACACTTTATTTATTTTAATGCTTGTTGTTTGAACCTTTGTGATTTTTTAAAATGCGCTATCAATCACTGTGGCAAAGGCAGGAAAGACGTCTGCCAGCCTGGATGCGTTCCCGAAAGAATATTCTCCGCTTCTCTGTGCCAGCCAAATTCTCAGTGTCGTGCAGGGGTGCCTCGTGCCTGCAGGCACCTGCTCTGCTCGCGAGCCCCTCGTGAGCCCACGGCGAGGAGTGGTGGTCCCGGGGGCAGTGCCCCACATCGGGGCAGAGCTGGGCACCGTGCTCCCCCCTTGGGGTGCTCCCCCGGCAGTTTCTCCCTGCCTTGCCCCTCGCGTGCCTTTTCCTGGGCCGCTGCTCGTCGTCACCATGCATGCACGGGGGCTGCTGACACAGTTTTGGGGCCAGGCTGGGCACTGCCCGTGTGCTCTTGCTGCCGGCGTGCCCCTGTGCGTTCAGCCAACTCCTATTGCTCAATGATCTGTGGTTTCATCAGCAATTGTTGTCCCTCGGAGGAGCCGCATCCACCTTCCCTTTTTGTTGTTCTTTCTCTTGTGCCTTCTGGCTCGCGGCAGCCCCAGGTTTATTTCGGTTTTGCCTGGTTGCAGAAGTAGAGCAGTGACTGTGGTTAGGTCTCGGTGCTTTCAGCTGGGCTCAGCTGTTTCATCTTTCCCCACTCTTCCTATTTTAAAATAAATGCCTGACTTTTCCAGCCGTGATTTGTGGTTCAGAGGAGAGCTGTGCAGCTTTTGGGTTCTCATTTCAGAGGGTCACTTCTGCAGGTGCCCACACGCAGCGCGCACCCCGGTGCTGTGTGCGCCTCTCTGTCCCCATTGCTGCTCTCCCACCCTCCTGCTGTGCAGCTCTCTGTTTTTTTCTGGGCTTTTTCCCCCTCTCTGGCTGGTGGGGGGCACCAGCACCTCAGGGTGTCCATCTGGGGACACTGGGGGCCGGCTGCTGCCTGTCCCCACGCAGCTCGGGGCAGCCCGGGCGCTCCAGGACCGCTGGCACCGCTTCATGTTGAGGGAATTCAGGGAGCCAGGTGTGGTTCTGTGCCCACCCCACAGCACGCAGGGCCGTTGTGCATTTCATTTTGTCACCTGGGTGGGTTTCACCCTCCCTGCTGCCCCTCGCCCCCCGCACGGGGATGTGAATTAACGCAGCCCCGGCAGCAGCACGCAGGCGGGGAGCTCACGTAGGCTGTGCCCTCCAAGAGCTGGGCAGTGCCGGGGGGGGTCGTCTTTTTAATTAGCTTAATTAATTATCATTGTGAGGATTTACGACTGCTGTTCTAATGGGTCTCTGTCTTGCAGAAATCTGGGCAAGTCTGGGCTGCGAGTGTCCTGCCTCGGCCTCGGTGAGTGCCCGTGCCCCCCTGCGCAGCTCCTAGCTCGGGGGTGCACAGCGGGGCTCCCGTGCTCCATGGGGGAGAAAAAGTGGATGGTCAGAAAGCACGCCTCAGCTGCTGGCACGGCGTTTCTTGCACTCCCAGCAGCTAATTGTGGCCAAAAAATTCTGCTTTGTCCTCAATACGCACCCGCTCGGCGCAGCGGCGGGGGCAGCGCCCTCACAGAGCCAGCTGCTGGCCTCAGATCTGGCTGGGAACGTGCACAGGATGAGCCCGGTGGGCTTCCAGCACGAGTGAGCCGCTTACAAAGAACGGACAGAAGTATTTATGGCTCTGCGATTGTCGCTGGCGACAATGGGTTTGTGTGGCTGAAGCTTACGCAGATCAGAGGGGGCTTTCTTCGGGCTGGCAGCAGTGCTGCGATGTGGCCCAGAAGTTCCCACGTGGTTCTCTCTTTTTCTCCCCCCGACATAAGAGAAAGCAAACGGGGTGTGCCGCGAGTGCTTTGCCACATGCGTTGGTGCCAAACGTGGCCACGGCACACGGGTGCTGCGCCAGGGCAGCTGGGGAGGGCGGTCAGGGCACGGCGCGATTGGGGACAGGACAGAGCCCCCCATGGCACGGCCCCTGCCCACTGCCCACACCCGCAGCCACCGTGCTCAACGTGTCCCTTCTCTCCTCCGCAGGGACATGGGTGACTTTCGGAGGGCAGATCACGGACGAGGTAAGGATGGTGCCCAGCGGCCAGCGCTCCCTGCGCCCCACGGCACGCGGTCCGGCTCCCCGCCGGCAGGGCTCCCCCCACGGCCCAGCCACGGGGCACCAGGACTCGGCTCGGGCTCTGGTGCATCCCCCCCAAGCACCCCCCCTTTGTGTTTGCAGATGGCCGAGCAGCTGATGACTTTAGCGTATGACAATGGCATTAATCTCTTCGACACAGCAGAAGTCTACGCTGCTGGCAAGTGAGTACCCCGCTTCGGCACGAGGGGCTGCATGTGCTGTGTGAGCCTTCCTCACCGGGCTCCCCCCGACTCCTCCTCACCCCGGGCCGCATCCTGTGCTCTCCTCCGGCGTTCCTGAGCTGCTGCCAGGCTGGGCAGCCGGGCGCTGGAGCCGTGCGGTGCCACGGGGCGGAGAGGTGCTGAGCTGGGCTTTGGGCTGGAGAGTGCTGAGGCATCCTCAGTCCCCCCGCAGCTGCAGGCTGCGGTATATTTAGCATTAAAAGCATCAGCACGGATATCGACCTGATAGCAAAACCTCCTGTTTCTTCCCTCAAACCCACTCCTTCGTTACCCAGAAACTTGGGCAAGGACAGCGTTGCCTTCAGCAAGCTCCATCCCGTGTGTCGGTGCCAGAGCCCCAGGCAGCCTCCAGCCCTCACAGAGCCCTCAGCACCCCTTGGGTGGTTCAGGCAAACACGTCTGAATTTCGATGGGTGTCGATAACTCGTTGGGTTCGTGGCTCTTTGCAAACCATCCCTCCAAGCCCCCGTCCAGCCCAGTTCTCCAGGCACGCTGGATTTCCTTGTACCTGAGGTTTTCAGGGACGGCCGTGCTCATTCACAGCGCTGTCCGAGCTGAATTAAAGCTCTTCGGTGCAGTGTGCCTGCAGACACTCCGCTTTCTAAATATTTGAAAGAGAGTTTGAAAGGATAGATGATATTAAGCATTCCGGCAAGCCCGTTGCCCCCGAGAGCAGTAATGAGGGCTTGCTCGTCCTCCTTGCTCTCCATTAGCTGGGTGAGGACAGCCATTGTCATGCAGGTTGGTTTAAAAGTTTGGAGAGTGGAAATAATTAAATCATTCCGCTTCCCCGCGCTCGTTTTCGGAAGTCATGTCACATTTGCTCAAACATTACGTCTTGCTGTGCCCTCTCCCGTGGAGGTGAGGGCTCTGCCCAGGCCACGCGGTGCCGGCAGAGGGGTGGCAGGAGGCTGGGGGGGGGCTGTGCTGGAGGCTCCTGCGCCGGCTCTGACTCAGCCATCACAAAACGCAGCCGGGGAGCACCCCGAGCAGCCCCGGGTGGTGCTGGCCTGGTCCCATCGCAGCCCCAGGACGGCGCCGTGCGGTGCCCGGGGACGCGGGGGCACCGGGTGGCTCTCCCAGGGCACCGTGTGCCGGGGCTGCTCCGCGGGAGGGGTGGCCCCGATGCGTCGCGGTGCGAGGAGCAGGCCCACACAGCCGCTTAAAAATAGAAAGCTCTCGTTGTTGGGGAGCAGCGGCACTGCCGGAGGAGCCTGGAAATGGCTCTCCAGAGGGCTTGTCTCCAGCGAGGCGCCCCTGCCTGGCTGAGCCTCAGCCCTCTTGCAGACACCTGCGCTCCCCTTCCCCTTCTGCTCGCCCTCGGGAGGATTTGGCAACCCCCAAGGGCGAGGGGCTGGGGCTGGGTGCGAGGGGCTCAGACCACGAGGAGGGTGGCAGGGCTGGCCATGGGGCAGGCACCGGGCCCTGGGTGTCCCCAGAGGGCTCTGCCTGGCCCCACAGCACTCTCCTGCTCCTCGCCCTCCGCTCCCACTGCTCCCCGATGCCTCTCGCAGTCGCTTCTCATTACCGAAGCGTTCCTGACCTAATTCCTGTACCAGCCTAAAGAGCTCACGGCTTCTGTCTCCCTTTCTGTAGGGCTGAAGTTGTGCTGGGAAACATCATCAAGAAGAAGGGGTGGAGGTAGGTACAGGCTTTTCCCTGGGTCAGGCGTTTCGCAGCGCTTCATTTTTGTGCATCAAATTTCCTTGGCAACTGCGGTGCCAACGGGCTGGGGACGGAGCTGGGGGCTGGGGGCCGAGGGGGGCGCGGGGCAGGGCGCACGGGGCTTTGCAGGCACAGCGGTGACTCTCCCCTCTCCCCGCAGACGATCCAGCCTGGTCATCACCACCAAAATCTTCTGGGGAGGAAAGTAGGTAGCGCACCCACCCTGCCCTGCAAGAGAGTGGCCGGCGCACGGCGGGCCCTGACCTCTGCTTCCTCTTCTTTCAGAGCGGAGACGGAGAGGGGGCTGTCCCGAAAGCACATCATCGAAGGTAGGGCAGCGGGCAGGACGCGGTGCCACCGGCTGGCTGCGGAGAGCCCGGCGTGCGGCCACCGCCCCTGACGGCCCCTGTGCTGTGCGGCCAGGTCTGAAGGCGTCCCTGGAGCGGCTGCAGCTGGACTACGTGGACGTGGTGTTCGCCAACAGGCCCGACCCCAACACGCCGATGGAAGGTAGGTGCCGCCGGCACCGCCGTGCCAGCCGGGTGCCGGGACGTGCCGGGCGGGAGCAGGCGTCCAGCCCAGGTCCCCGGGGCCGTGCCCCTTGCTCAGCACCACGGCCCCGCTGTCCCCGTGTGCCCAGCGCGGGGCAGAGCCGGTCCCTTCCTCCCCTCTCGCCCCTCGGCGGTGCTGGTCCCGAGCAGGAGGGCCGCTTCCCGGCAGCCTGGGCCGTGCATCGCATCGTGCGTCTTGTATTTCATCGCCATCCGTGGGTTTTTAATCATGCTTTGTGTGGCAGGCTTTCTCTTCTAAAGCGTGTTTTCCATTACTGAGCATAAATCCTCCCCTCTGTCACTGCGTTCAGCACGGGCACAAAGTGAGGGCTCTGCAGAACGCCCCCCTCCTCGCCCGCTGCCAGGAGCCTCCCCGGCCACGCTTGGACAGCCGGAGGCTGCTGCCACGGTGCTGGAGGCGCCCCCAGCCCCACGCCCCTCGTCGTGCCCTTCGCTGTGATGCGCCGGCAGCTGTAACCTCTGGTCTCTCTACATCTTTCTTTTATCACCAGGGGACCCATTTAGTTCTTCCAAGTCAAGAACATTCATCATAGAAGGTACATCGTACCCGCAGTCTGAACCCCAGCGGCATTTTATGGGACAGAACCCGCTCTTGTCTTTAATTTTAATTCCTTCCCCCCCACCCCCCGAAACAATCCTCTCCATAAAATGCGCAAAGGAAAACAGCAGCAACAGCCAAACAAAAATACTCCCCCTGCCCCCAGAACATCTTGCAAGTAAAGGAACAAAGCAAACAGCTGGTGGCTCCCCTCCCCGTCGCCTCATCTCACCCCTGCTCCTCTCCCCGTGCATGGCTGCGGTCGGGCCGTGCTGCCGCTGGACGCGCTGCTTTAGCCCCGTGCATGGGGCTCAGAGCGCTCGGGAGCAGGGCGAGTGTGCCGGGGGGGGAACACGGCACGGTCCCTGCTGCAGGGGATTTCAAGTGTCATGTCTTGATGCAGGGGGTGCAAATCCCCTGCAAGGCGCTGCTGTTAGAAGCAGAGCAGCTCCCAGGTGCCGTGGGGCCAGCTCTCAGCCCCCCAACCCAGCACCCAGCGAGCTGCACGCAGCCTCCTCCAGCCCCAGGCTGCCCCCTGTTTGCCCCCTCCCTGCACGTGCAGGACCAGGCTTTCTCCATTCTCTCTCGTCTCTCGTCCCACTGCAGAGCTGCCGGAGCCGACTGACAAAGCCTTTGGTTCCCACAAGCCCAGTGCCTGGCCGAGCCGCCAGCCCACTGGTGCATGCGCTGGTGGTGTTAAACCAAACCTTGTCTGCCTTTTCCTTCCTGCTTCCTCCATTTGGTGTGGCAGCACCGCCTGCCTTGCAACCCAGCCTGCATGGTTCACAGCTGCCTGGGGCCAGCAGCTGAAGATGCAGCCAAATCCCCCCCCCAGCCGAGCAGCACAAGGCTGAGGTCACGATGCCGGTGGTCGGTCCCAGCACCGAGCCCCTTCCTCCGGGCTGCAAGCCCTGGATGGAGCAGCAAGCCTGGCTCAGCGTTTTGTTTTGGAGGTCAGGGCGGTGCTGGGTGCAGAGGATGGGCAGCCTGAGGGTTGTAGAAACGCCCGCCCGCCAGCTTCCCCCTCTCCTGTGGCATTTGCAAGCAGCCTTGCAAGCACTGTACGGCGTGGTGGCCCCGGGCGCCCTCGCCGCGTGCCGTGGGTCCGTGCGCATCCCGGAGCCATCCTGCGAGAGACCCGCGGTGCTGCCAACACCACTTACTAAATGCAGGGTTTGGGGAAGGTGCTCCTTTTTTGTGCGTCCTTAAGCCCTGTTTTACCTGCCACTCGTTTCTGCGATGGAGCATTTTGGGAAAAGCCGGAGCTGGCTTTTAGCCCCTCCACCTTGGAGGCAGTGCCAGCCTCCCTCGTGGTGCCGCTGCCCCGCCAGCAGCAGGGCACCCGCTCCAGCTCTGTCTGGGTGCTGAGTACTCAAAGCAGCCCTTTTCTGCCTGTTTCTCTTTTTCCCCTACTTTTTCTGTCTTTTTGGTGTGAGGGTGATGCTTTCAGCTGGTCTCCGGGTGCCACACGCAGCGTTGGTGCTGGTGCCCCAGAGCCCAGCATCTCCCACCCCGGGCAGCGCCGGCGCCTGCTCCCTCAGCCCCCCTCCTGCTCCCTCTCCAAAAGCATCTCCTGAACACCACCCCCACCTGGGGGACCATAAATCACATCCTTTTTGTCTCTCCCTGCTCATCTCAGCACAATCACACCTAAATATGTCAGCTCCATGTGACTCTCTCATGTGGTTTGATTCGGGTCTGTTTTTAATAGCTTTGGAAAAGCACTAGGTGTGGAGAAGCGATTTCCCAGCGCAGTCTCTCTCTCTCTCACGGGTCGTTTTCGGTTCCCTTTTGTTTTAATTTCCGCGTCAAACTCCCACCCCGGTTTGGTGTTTGGACGTACACTGCTTGCAAGATGTCTGTGCAGCGCCAGCCCCCCTCCCCGTGGCGCTCCCGGCCGCGGGTCCCGCTCCCTAACGCCCGCCTGCCGCTCTCCCCTTCCTCCCCGGCAGAGACGGTGCGCGCCATGACCCACGTCATCAACCAGGGGATGGCCATGTACTGGGGGACGTCGCGCTGGAGCTCCATGGAGATCATGGTAGGGCTGCTACGGGTGCTTGCAGAGGCCTCAGTGCCCAAATTGCTGCACAGCCCCGCAGGGTGGTGGGGTTGGGCACAGCGGGCACTGATGGTTTGCACCCGGGCTTGGCAGGAGGCGTACTCGGTGGCCCGGCAGTTCAACCTGATCCCGCCGATCTGCGAGCAGGCTGAGTACCACATGTTCCAGCGGGAGAAGGTGGAGGTGCAGCTGCCCGAGCTCTTCCACAAGATAGGTACCGGCCCCGTGCCCCCGAGCCCTCACCCAACCCCAGCAGGAGGGGCTGGGGCGCGGGGAGCAGCCGGCTCAGCCCCTGCTCTGCTCCCCAGGCGTTGGTGCCATGACCTGGTCCCCGCTGGCCTGCGGCATCGTCTCAGGGAAGTACGACGGCGGCATCCCCCCCTACTCACGGGCATCGCTGAAGGTGAGCCCCGCACTCTGCAGGTGCCAAGGGACTCGTAGTGCTCGGGGCTCCCCCAGGGAGGGGCTGGCTGCAGAGCAGGGCGGGTGGGTGCTGGGGAGGGGGCCAAGAGAAGCCAAGAGCTGGGGATGTTTTTGGTTACCTTTTCTATGGAAAGCACAGCGCATTACTGGCAAGGTGCTGGTCCCGTCCCATATGCCAGGGGATGGGACAGGCGGCGTGCCAGAGACCGCTGCCGACCCCCCTCTCCCACCCCCAGGGGTACCAGTGGCTGAAGGACAAGATCCTGAGCGAGGAGGGCCGGCGGCAGCAGGCCAAGCTGAAGGAGCTGCAGGCCATCGCCGAGCGCCTGGGCTGCACACTGCCCCAGCTCGCCATCGGTAAGGGGGCCAGGGAGGGGGGCAGGGGGGGCGGCCGGGCCACGCTCAGGCTCCACGCTCTGCATCCCCAGCCTGGTGTCTGCGGAACGAGGGCGTCAGCTCCGTCCTGCTGGGTGCCTCCAACGCCGACCAGCTGATGGAGAACATCGGAGCAATACAGGTGAGACCCGCGTGGCTCCGCGGCGAGGAGGGGATGGATCTGGTGCTGGTAAGGGGAAGTTTTGCAGAAGAAAAAGCGTGGGCTTGCCTGCTGGAACGCTGAGTCAAAGACGCTGCTTTGCCGAGCGCTGGGAGTGGTGCAGGGCACGGGGCCAGCTCTGCACTCACCGTCCCACCTGGATCCTGACCGTGCTCCCTGTTTGCGCACAGGTTCTTCCAAAGCTGTCGTCTTCCATCGTCCACGAGATCGACAGCATCCTGGGCAATAAACCCTACAGCAAGAAGGACTACAGATCCTAAGCACGCGCCGCCGCTGGGACGCCGCGCCGCCCTCGCCTCCTGTTCGCTTGCTTACGCTTTGTTGAAGCAAAGTGGAGAGCGGTTCGCATCGAGAACACAGTGCGCCGAGACCGTGTAGAGAAATCGTTTCAAATGTCGCTGCAAGAGAACATAATGCTTACTACGTAACATTTATTTTGGATGCAAGAAAAGCCACCGCCGGGGAGCGCGCAGAGGCGGTGCCCACCCGATGCCCGGCCTCGGAGCTTCCTCTCCAGCTGCAGAAGCCGCCCACGATGGTGCACGACGACGACGACGATGATGACGGGCGCCTCGGGCTCGGGCTCTGCGCTGGCCTGGCTGGCCCCGGCACGCGGCCCCGGCACGCGGCGCGCTCCATGGGCACCGCGCAGAGGACTCAGCCGGTGGGACCTGTCCCGGGCGGCGGCGGCTCCGGCCGTTGCATGCGTCTCCCCGCTGCTTCTCTTCTTTACTTTGTGTTTCTGGACGAGGAGGCTGTAACATTCGGGCGCGCTCGGAGCACGGCGGCCGCGGGAGCGTTGCGCGTGCAGGGCTGGCTGCTGGCCGGGACCGCACGGGCTGTAAGAGGCTGCTGTACAACACCAACAAGGAAACAACAACCAAACCACCACCAACACCAAAGTCTTCTCCCCGGCGGCGTGGGGGCGGCGTGCCTGCTCCTGCACCCGTGCCTAGGATGGGGGCAGGAGGGGAGGGGAGGCTGGGGGCTGGGAGGGGGGTGTGGGGGGCACAGGGTGCCCCTGTGAGGGGGGCCCTGTGCAGACCCTCCCCAGGCAGAGCCCCCAAGGGGCAGCACCCGCCTGTCCTGCAGCAGCTCACAGCATTTGGCCGAGTGGAGGTGGGGGGGTGGGACAGTGTGTGAGTGTGTGTGTGCCAGATTTACACATCAGCCCATACAGATACACCCGTGTAGGTACTGATAGGTGCAAGGTGTGTGTATCTGCGTGCAAACCTGCATAAACACGTGTAAGCAGACACAGAACTGCACAGCTCCATGCAGCTATAGGCGTCTACGCATACAGGCATACGTAAATATATGCACACACAGATGACAAGTGTATATACGTGTGGATATAACACACACAGCTGGATATGTCAGTCTATATACTGGTACCTATTGCTATAGACTGGCAGTGACACATTTACACATCTCCGTGTGTGTGTAGATACATGTACACTCATATATAACATATCACATACATGGATACATACACGGAGACATATATACACCTGTATGCATATACATAAATATATTGATACATCTATGTATACATATATGCACAAATTAGAAATGTAGATATGTAAATGTGTACATACATAGCTGTAAACACAAACATATGTATGTAGGGCTATGGATATCAATACCTGAATTTACACCCATCCCTATACACAGATCTTCATATGTAAACGTATGTAGATAGAGTGCACGCTTGTAGAAATTACAGATGTGTATAGCTCAACCTACACACATAAGCACACACCCTCTTTGTGTATTTAGATATGTGCACATGCATGTGTGTAAATGCATGCATATGTATATAAAAATATATACACATCTATTTATATATTTATATATTTACATCGCTAAATCTATACCATTACACCTATACCTATATCAATGCCCATTTACAGCTACATATCAAACTATAATATGTCTTTTTATATCCATAATTACCTACCTGTGTGCACACACATATGGCTAGGCACACGCGTGAGTGGGAGGCGAGTGTGCAAGGGGCAGCGGCTGCTTCCCGTGCAGAGCTCACCTGGAGGGAGATGGCTGGGGGGGGGGCAGCCCCTTCCCGTGTGCGTGGGGGTGTGTGTGCACGTGGGGGTGTGTGCACAGGCTTTATGCATGCCGGTGTGCACGTGTGTGCACCCCCGTGTGTGTGCAGGATGCTGACAAGTGCTGCTTTGCCCCGGTGCTGCCGTTTGGATCCAGGGCTGCTGTGCCAGGCTGTGGGCACATCCGTGCTGCTCTGGTGCAAAGTGGGGGCAGCACCATGGGGGAGCCCTCTCGGGGCCCCTCTCCCAACTCACTGAGCAGCTTGCTCGCATCCCACCCCGTTCCCATGGGCAGAAGGGCAGAGCCCCCCGTGCCAGGCCGCGGGCACGTTGGCAGGGCCAGGGCGCAGCCACCAGCCAAGTAACCACGCTGCTCCTGCCTCCGTTTTACAGGATTTATTAAAACACAGAGAACATAAACCGAAACACACAGAGTACAAAGTAAATGTGAGTGTGTTGGTTACAGGTGCCATAAACCTCCTACGAAAGGTCATCACGCTGCAGTCAGTATCACAAAATAACAGCCCGCCAGGCGTGAAGGCAGAAAGGCTTCCACCTCCCTGCTCCAGCCCGGAGCGGTTCCTGCCCGCGCCCTCCTGCGCCCTGCTCAGACCTCATCCAGCTCCGGGCAGCCCACGGCCATGGAGAACAGGGAAGGGGGCAACCGAGGGCTCGAGGGCTCTCTGGCCCCTTCCTTCAGGGGGGTCCCAGGGGAGCACAACTCAGCCCGGGCGCACCGCGTGCCGAGCACCGCAGCAACTGCGGGTGCTCCCCAAGCTGCTCCCCCCTGCAGCCTCCTCCTCCAGGAGCCCCAGCACAGCCACAGCACAGCCAGGGCAGGCTGCGAGCAGAGGGGCACCGGGGCAAGGCTCAGCCACCTGCCTGGGGGGCCAGGGTGACGTGAAAAGCCACGCACAGGCTCCTCTCCCCCTCCTCCTCCTCCTCTTTACTCCCTCCCTCTGGCAGCAGGGCAGCGGCGGGCATGCACTTGCTCAAACACAAAGAAGACATAAAAATAGAACTCACAGGGAAGCTACCGAACAGGATTAAGCTTGGCGCCTAACGGTCAGCATGGAGGAACTGGACTAGAAACAGAGCTTCCAACAGGTCTCCCTTTAAATCTGATACGTGTCGATAAAAACAGACAGAAATACTGTTACTCTATACCCCTTCTTAACTCATCCCACGTTTTCCAGACAAACTCTTCAAGTCTTCAATAAGAAAGTGCAAAAAATGTACAAGGAAATGAAATCCCCTTCAGAGCAGTCCTTGCGGTGGGGGGGTCACATCGGGCGAAGCACACTCAAAGGCGAGGGGGCACGGGCCTGCGGCAGGGCTCGCGTCCCACGGGCAGCGCCGCCGCGCGTCCCCTGCCCCGCCGTGGTGGTGCCGTCCCTCGGCTCCTGCTTGTGGGCTGCAGGGTGGCCCGGGGGGCTGCTGGGGGGACAGAAAGGGGGGGCTCACGGTCTGCTGGGCACACGGGAGGGGAGCCACGGCAGCGCCGAGCCCTCTCACACCACGGACGGACCCGCACACATGCTACAGCCAGTCCCGACGCGTGGAAGGAGGCAGTTGAAGCACGGCCTTACCTCAGGTGGAAATGGGAACTGCAGAAGAAAATCTCAGAAACGGCTAAATATCTATTGGTAAGAGAGAAAACAGCTCGCTCGCCCACAGTCCTTTGGGTTTGCTCGTGGCCCACTAGAATTTGCCCCCTGACTTCCCCTGTCAGTGTCCTCTAGAAATCCCAACCTACCGGTCACGTACGGTCCCAGAGGCATCTGACTGTAGTTAACAATCCCACCAGGCCCAGGACCTCGGAAATTCGGCCCAAAGTTGTTGTTGTAGATCTGGGAGGAACCAAAGGAGCCCTGAGGAAATAAACAAGGTGAAACAGGCACTGGCGTGGAGCCCGGAGCACAACCCCAGCCTGCCCTCCACCCTGCCAAGATCCAGCAGGATCGCAGGGCAAGGCCGGGGAGCAGAGCTGGGGACACACAGCACGCACACGACGTGGAGCAGTCGCAGGCCTCCCGGGCAAGCTCTGTGCCCTGGCCCACAGCCCACTGACCTGCTGGACCGGGGGCTCTCCCCCGCGGGTGGTGAGGCGGCTCAGGATGCTGCGCTCCGACATCTGCAGCCGCGCGGCCACGGGCGGGATGCGGGACAGCATGGAGGGCAGGCGCGTCACGTCGGCCTTCATGTCGCTCAGCAGCTCCTCGAGCTGGTTCAGCACTGCAAGGAGCACCCATGGGCGCTGAGCCACGCACCCCAGACCCCCCCTGCCCCCGGGGTGCAGCGGGCAGCAAGGCAGCTCCAGCCCTGGAGCCGCTCACAAGGAGCCGCTCCCCAGCGCGCTGCGTACCCTTGTGCAGGACGGCGTTTGCAGGCTTGTTCCCAGCGAGGGACTCTTTGGAGAGATGCTGGTGGCTCTCAGCAAGGCACTCCACTTCAGCCAGACGGGCGTTCAATGCCATGGCCGGGTGATTGGGGTCTTGAGTCATGTTGAGGTACGCAGCCCGCCGAAGCTGCTCCTCTATCACCAAGGCCTGCTCCAGCAACTGGGGGGTACAGGAGAGCAAGGATTTGGGACAGATTCAGGACTGCACCAGTGCAAACCAGTGTCACTCTGGAAGCTACAGCTGCCCACGTGCCTGCCATCCTCCCCCCCAACCCCAACAAGCTCCTGGGGAATCCCAAAGCAGACCCAGTCACACACCAAGCATCCCAGAAAGGGATTTGGGCAGCACTTCCATATCACTGAAATTGTCAGGAGCAGGAACAGCGCCCAGTCCACTCCCAGGCACAAGCCCGGACTGGCCAGCCTGGTCTCACCACCCTCCAGAGCCACTGAGTGCTCCCCCTCTTCCAGCCCTGCCCCTTGGGCAGTGCCACGAGTATCTTACAAAACACCCAGCCGCCTCCTGCTCTGCTGCCAAGTGCTTTCTGGCTCCATCCTCGCTGCAGGGGCTCTGCTGTGCCACTGCTAAGGACTCGCCAGCCCTGGACCTGTGACTTGCCTTGAACCGCCGGGCAAGGAACTTGTTCTTCATCTCGAGGTAGTTCCCCTTGTGTATCTCCGACTTGAAGGGCTCGTTCAGGATCACGTAGCGCGGGTCGTTCTGGATGTCCTGCCAGCGGGCATAGCCGTGACTGGGCGCAGAGGAAGCGTCAAGGGAAGAACTGGCCAGGAGGCAGCACTTCTCGGTGACACCTCTCCAATCCCCTTCCCTGCTCCGTTCCCTCCCCATCGCCCCTGCTGCCCTGCTCCCCCTGCTCCACAGAGGTCTCCTCCCCCCCGCAGCCTCCCCAGCACCCAGCGCGGGGAGGCAACTGCCCACAAAGCTAAAGGGTACGTGACAATTCCTGCCAACAGCCAGTAGTCGTGTCTTCGGTGCCAGATGTCATAGATCTTGCCGGAGGAGATGGCAGCTCTTTCCTCATTCTGCCACAGCGTGTGCAACTCTGCAGAAACAGGAGAGAGACAGCCTGGTCAGCCAGCAGAGCTGCTGGGGACACTGCAGGAGCACAGCAGGCAGCGTGAGCGAGGAGATTTCCCAGGCAGCCACGGGAACAGTGCAGAGCTGAGACATTTGAGACATTCTGCCACGAGGCTGCAGAACATTCAAGCTCACAGGCTCTTTTAAAATGCCTCGTCTCTTGCCGTTACCTGTAAAGCCACCGTCAGCGATGTTGAACATGAATCTGAAGTTCACATTTCTCTCATCCTTCTTTCCATCCTCCTCTTCTTCTTTGTCACCATTTTGCTGGGTCTCGCTTTGCTCCTTCTCTTCCACCTTGGTATCCTCTGCTTGGCAAACACACAAAATTATGCCTGTATAATTTACTCAGCCAAAGGCTGATCCGTGTCATCGCTGCCCTATTAACTGCAGGAGGAACTCCCCACTAAAGCTGGGAGAACAACCAGCCCACTCTCTGCTCCACAGCTGCTGACCGTCTGCTCCCTCCAGCAGCTCCTATTGTTTTCACAAGCACAGGCAGTGCCCACAGTAACAGGGTCTGGGGCTCGCTGGCTTCTGAGCATCAGCACAGTGCACTAACTGCTGCAGGTGCTGACAGCTGCCCGTGCCAACACCCTGCAGACGCCTGCCTCTGTGCCACACACCTGCCTTGCTCTCGAGACCTGCCCCCCAGGGCACTTCACGCCACTTCTCTCGCAAAAGCCTCCTTTCTCCTTACCTGGTTTGATTTCTTTGTCCTCCCCTTTACCAGGACTACTGTTCAGCTCTGGCTTTTCCAAAGGCTTCTCTTTTTCTTGAATTCCCTCATCTGTAGAAGGGAACGGGACTGTGAGAAAAACTTGACATGAAAATGCTCTTCAGGGAACAACAATATCTGGATAGACTTTACCCTTTTGGGGTAAAGGAATTATATTGTATGTACATTCAAGTTGTTAAAAAAAAACATCAAATAATATTCTTCTGAATTTTATCAAGAAAATGTACTTAACTTTCCTTGTTACTTGAGATATCTAACAGAACACCTTATTATAAAAGAAAACACCCCCAAAAATGAGCATTTCACATAACTTACTTTTGTTTTGATTTGCACATCATACTAAACGAGTGCTTTATTATTACAGTGTAGATTACATTTGTGATAATGTGCTGTCGTTATCTAAACAACAAACTGGAAGTTCAACAGGAAGACTTTTTTTTCAGGAATTTCTACAGGACACTGTGACATCCAGGTTTTCCACTGTGGTTTGGAGAAGAGAAAGACCTAAGCAAGACGCAAGTGCCAGAGCTTCGTACCAGAGGGAAAGCCTGTCAGGAGCAATAGCATACCTGAGGCTGTCACGGTCATGCTCCAGTGTCTGTGTGACTTTAGCTGAAGAATTTCTCCAGCACACATCAATGTCACTGGTAAGTGTCCCAGCGCTCAGAAATGTACCAAAGGCTGCTCAGAATGGAGTCTGCACTTGGGGATTACATTCTTCTGTGCCACCAAGAGACTCACCTTTCACTAAAGGCTCAGGAGAAGGCTCAGCCTTTTCACCCTCCTCTTGTTTCTCTTCCTTCAGTTTCTCTTTGCTTTCACAGCTTTCTTGGTGCTCTTCACTTTCCACCTTCTCAGCACTTGCAGGCACCTTAACGTAAAGCATCCACACTTAGCCCAGCAGTCAGAGGGATGCGGTTTGATCCCTGAGCAATGCTGCAGCATTTCCCAAGAAACCCATTACCCCAACTCTGCAGAGTCTGCTGGGCAGTGGTGTGGGCTTAGGTTCGTGACCAATTCTCTCCCCACACTTCTTCCACAAGGTTTTGTGTTTGTGTGGGAGTGAGGTCTAGTCAGTCTGGATGGGAAAAGACTGCAGAAACTCATGGGAGCATGCAGCTGGGATATTCAAGGGCTGCTAATGCTGGCCTGGTTTCACAGATCTCAGCTCCTGCATGACTCGCAGAGCAGTGACAGCATGAAATGTCCTGCAACTTTGTACTCCAAGAAGGGGAAGGTTGGAGCCCAGGAAAGGAGAGAGGACATGCAGAACTCAGCCTAGCATTGCCCATTACTTGGGAGAGCTCCAAGTTCCCAGGCAGGCATTGAAAAGGCCTCCCGGAGGAGATGCTGAAAAAAGCCACCCTACCTGGCTGTCAGACACCTTCTTGGGTTTCTGCTCCACTTGTTCCTTTTCCTCTTGGAATCCAAGTTGTGTTTCTATTTTTTCTGTAACAGCAGCAAAGCAAGGAAGCTGTTGACAGGGACTCCTGGCCTTTGCCAACTGCACAGTGCCAGGCAGATACCTGCAAAACCTTCCGATGCCTTGTTCCACCTCCCTTCCTCAGCCAGACCAAAATCACTTGGAAGCCCACAGGCACATTTACCTGCAAGGGTAAGAGGTCCTGTGTGCATATGCGCTGGGCTGGCCGGGACAGGGGTGTTGGGGTCTGAAGAAACAATCTCACTGCACTTCTTGCTCTCTGGGCCTTCAAGAATCAGATCTGGGGTGCTGTACTTCCCGTTGACGTGCTCAAACTCCTGGACCTGGGGCAGACGCATGCCAGCAAGTCAAACACAGTCAGGCAGCAGCACAGTAACAGCCAGTCTCAGGGCACTTCTGTGCCTGCAGGTAGTGGCACACTTTGCTGAGCAGCAGATGCCTCTGTCCACAGCAGCGTGGGCTGTCCGTGCCCTGCTGCTCTCCAGGCTCCCAGGTCTCAGCAGCACCTCCACCAGCTGCCCTGCACCAGAACCTCCCTGCCCAAGGCAGCAGGCACCGTGTTTACACAGAAAGCTCCCCGTGTTCTCCCTTGCATGGATTATGATGTGGGGAACCACACTGATGAAAAAGGAGTCTCAGCAATGGACTTGGCAAGCAACCCATCACTTGCAATCTGTGGATGTCCGATTCTGCAAGACAGCTGAGCATCCACCTCCTCCTCCATACCTGACTAACTGCTGCTATCTATGGAGTCAGCACATGCCTGGGATTAGCCACACAACAGAGAAACTCGCTGAGTTCAGTCCCAAATCAAGGCTGGATGTCTCTCTAAAAGACATGCTTTGGTTCAACAAGATTCTGGGCACAATGCAAGGTGCTGCAAGTTAAAATCTCTGGCCTGTACAGCACAGGAGGTCTGAGAGGCGACCATAATAGTCCCATCTGAAATTAAAAAAAACCTACAAAACTAAGAATTTTTGCAAGTTCGAAATGTGATTTTCTCATGATTTTTTTTGCCAAGCGTGCACTTTACCTCCAACTGACCTAGATCACTAAAATACCACAGACAGAGCTGTGGTATTCCCACCCAGTCTGGAGCAAACTAAAGCCTAGAAGAGCCTCTTTTCCTGACTTTTCGAGCCCAGTGCTACAGACCCTGTATGTTCAGGCTGCTTTACATGCAGATTCACCAAGCAGCAGGATCACCACACCCACCCTGCCAGGGACATTTGACCCCATTGCACTGAGACTCACAGCTCTGGGGAGGCTGAACAAATCTCCAGTGTGATTTCTTTTTTTTGTCACCCAGACTATGAAATACCTCTCAGCCCACATGCCTTCGGGAGAAAGAAGTGGCAGGATTGGAAAGGCCGTTTGCATTACCATCACACACGTCTGTGACAAAAACAGATGTGCAGGGAGTCGTGGAGACTCAGCGAGGGGATCCCTGGCAAGAAGGCATTTACAAGTGTCCAGAACATACCTGCAATGGCACATTTAAAATTTTACTCACCCACCTTCTTCCTTACTAGTGACATAACTCCTATCCGAGTCAGCACGTGCTGCCGTGACAGCCCTTCCCGAGGAACGCCATCTGCAAAGGTTTCAGCACCATCTGCTCCAGGTTCACATAAATGTCTCATGAACAGAGAGACGTACGCCCTACAGAAGGAAGGCAAAAGCTTTTTCTAGCCTGGACCACAAACCCCCTGCTGAGCAAAGCACCCAAGCTGTCTGCTTTCACCAGAGGGCAAGGGCAGAGTCCCACTGCCAGGCACACGGCAGGAAGAAGCTGCGTGTAACAAACCCAGTGCAGAGCCTGGGACAGACCTCAGCGTGCCCGCCTGGGACCACCGTACCTGAACTCCTTCTCGCTCTTCCCTCGCAGATCCCGGACCAGCCAGTGAGAGTTGAAGGCATCCTGGGGCGGCATGCCCCACCGCATGATGGCGTTCAGGAAAGCCTTGCGCTGACGGGCATTGAACCCGAGAACCTGCAGGGAGCAGAGGTGTCACTGTGATCACAACATGAAAATATGATGAAAATAAGACGCCTTGAAAACATGCGGCATCTCAGAGCCTCGCAGCTGTCACACGTGCTGAACCAGGACTGATGCTGGTGACCCAGCACAAAAGAGAACAGATATCAGATGTGCTCTGGCCAATGCTGACCCTCACCTCAATATTCCCCCCAACTCTTGCCAGCAGAGGAGGAAGAGGCTTGTCTCGGTCACTCTTCAGCTGTCTTCGTGATTGTCTCCTGCCACCTAGAGTCAAGCAGCCTAAGTGATGAACATGCCCAGCCAACGAGGAAAGATGGTCAAAGTGCAGATGCTGATGGCCCTGTGCTCCAAGCTTCCTGAACTCCCTCCTGATGGGAGCAGAACCTGCACAGACCACCAGCTGTGTGTGCAGTCCCCACCACGCTGGTCTCCCCAGGCCAGGGGCACTTTCCAGCACTTACCAGGCAAGGGAATACCATGCCTGTTACTCCTGTGGTCTAGATCCTTCTAACACAAAGACCAGGCCAAGGTCTTGCAACAGCCAGTGAGCAAAAGAGCAGGTCATGTTTCCTGCCCTGGAAATCACCTCACCTCGCAGGGTGAGCTGGAATACCTCCCTCTGACCGGAGGCTACGAAGCAAGCCAGTCCCTCCAGCACAGACATTCCTGTAGCACTGGAGTGCCAGCCAGCCCCAGATCACAGGCTACCACTGAAGGTCCTGCAGAGCCAACTACGGTGGAGTATCAAATGATTTAACTCACTCTGACCTTCTGGTCTCTCTTCAAAGTCTTCATCCTCATCCTCGGAGCCAATGGAGTACTCAGACTGGTTGTCAGAGAGCTCGTCCTGCCACTCTGCAGACCACAAGGGAGGCAAGGTTAGCAGAGAAGACTGCAAGCCTGCCCAGGAGGGACAGCAGGACAGGTGAGAGACTGCCCACAGGCTGGTGCAACCAGCATCCAGCACCAGGCAGCAAGAGAGAAAGACGCAACAACGAACAGGAAATCACAATCTCAGCTATTCCAGAACTATTATTGTCCTATACAGAAAATATAGATATGTTTATAAAAATATTTTGCCCACAGACATGTTTTTTCCTAAATTCTTCCTGCAAAAAGTTACAGACAAAAAAAAAAGTTTCAGAATTGGGGAAGCACAGACCCAGGCAGTCTATCAAACTGCAGAGAAAGGCTGAGCACCCAAATACAGCCACTGTGTTCACTGGAGAACCCGAGTGTGCAATTCTTGAGAAGCAAGCCCGCAGGGCCTGCTACCCGCCCCTGAGCCCACGTGGCAGCTGAGCAGTCGAGGCCATACCTTGGTCCTCCTGCGAGGCATCGTTGTAATTGACCTGCTTGCGGATTCTCTTCCCTTTCCCCAGGTTCCTGGCCAGATCCTCCTGCTGCTGCTCATAGTGGTGCCGCAGTAGCTTCTCCCAGTAGTCGGGGTCCACATTCTCCTCTTGCTTGATGATCTCACGTTCCACCTCCTCCTGCAAAGCAGAAGATAAAAGGCTTGAGACAGGAGCTGCAGACCTCCCCATATCGCACTGCTGCCTGTCTTCTAACTGCACTCCAGGGAAAGAGGAAGGGAGGGCACTGAGCCATTTGCTGGCAAGCAAGATCTTCAGGCATGCTTTGATCAGCCAGTGGTCTACTGCCTTCACCCTGCTCTATTTGTATATACACACTCAAAATCTCACTCCTGTCTTGCCCAAATGTACCGACCTCGGTGCAAGGCTGTCAAAGGGCTGAGACAACGTCCCCACCAGCCACCTGTACCTAGAAACAGCCCCTACAAACACTGCCACCCCTCCTGCCCTGCAGAGCCCGTACTCGGGTCTAGGGAAAAATTACAGATGTGCAGAGATTTCCCAGAATAGCAGCCTGCTACAGACCTGGGAGACTGATGAAGGAAGGAGTCAGTCAGCTACTGGGAAAATAAAAGCAATACAGTGCATAAGCAGCACCATGCCTGCTCTGTCTCCAGGGAGCAGCCTTCAGAGGGACAGCACAAAGTGCCTACGTGCTGGTGGCAATATCGCATCCTGCAGCTGTGGGAACAACCAGAAGAGCTACCTCACAGGGAAGGGACCCAACACCAAAAACATTTCCATCCGTGTGGCCATTTCACAGCTCCTCAGGTTCCCGGGAGACCCAGCCCGCCAGCCCCTGGATATCCTTATTGCTTCCACCTTAAACATCAGTCCTCTACCATCTCCTTTTTCCGATGGGAAAGGAGGCCCAGAGTACTGAGTGCTACTGAGAGTCTGCACCAGGCCAGAGAACCGCTGCAGAGAACCACTTGCAAGAACAAGAAAGGGAGAGGAAGACGCACATATGGAGGGACACACACAGAGATGCGATTATAAGACATGATACTGATCACATTACCACACCATCCTCTTCTCTCACAACATACTGGGCCACTTTAAAGGAGCTCAGATACTCGTTCATGTTCTGCAGCTCAGTGTCATCAGTTGCATCCTGGTTTCGGTCCAGAAGCTTAGAGATTGCAGCATCGTCATAGTGGATCACACTGCTGTCATCCACATCCTTATTGTCACCTGGAGAGCAAAGTGTGGGGAACAGAAGGCAAATCACCTCACCTGCCCCCCAAGATGGGCGAGCTCAGGTTGGGCACAGGGCCGAGCCGCCCCAGCAGTGGGGGCTACAGACCTGGAGGGGTGCCAGCCGTGCTTTTTTTTCATGCCAGGAGTCACTGCACCCCCTTTGGTTGACAGCGTGTCGGAGAAAGGGGTGACAGCATCTGGCATGGTGATCCGCTGCCCCTGAGACACCATGCCTGCAAGAGGAAGAACAGGAGTGAGTCCCGGCAGCTCGGACAGGGACCTGCCTCGCTCAGAGCACCCCCAGCTCCCTCCCGACCTCACCTTCCACATCATCCTTGAAGAGCTCTTCCGTCCCGAATTTAAGGATGTCATCCAGCTCCTGCTTGGTCATGGAGCCCGACTTCGAGCCAAGCCCAGGACGGACAACCAAGTGGGTGAGCATCATCTTCCTTTTGGCCACCTGGGTGATCCGCTCCTCCACGGAGGCTCTCGTCACGAAGCGGTAGATCATCACCTTCTTGTTCTGCCCGATGCGGTGAGCTCTGCTGAACGCCTGCAGGCAGAGAACAAAGCTGCAGAGCAGCTCGTTCGCAGCCAGCCTGAGCAGTGACCCCAGCCTGGCCCCAGACCCCAGCCGGAGGAGCCCCTCTCTCCCAGAAGTGAGGTCCCCAGTGCTGAGGACAAGGCTGGGAACTGCTCCCCACTGCTGTCGAGGATGGCACCCCACCACGCCACACAAGGAGGCCAAGTTCTGATCCCTCCAGGGCACAAAAGGCACCAGCAAGAGCAAAGTTCAGTTCACCAAACAGCTGCTACAGGGCGGTGGAGCAAAAGAGGCTCCTCAGAGACAACCTGAAGGCTTTGTGGGAGTCCTTCCCCCTCCACTGACTGCAGGCAAACCAGCTCCCTAAAGGAGGCCTCTAACCGAAGGGTCTGAAGGCAGGCAGTGTAGGGACGTTCCTCTCAGGAACCCTCTGTCTGCAGATTCACCAGGCCCTCAGTTCTCCATCACCACCCCGTACCAGCACACCCTCTTGCCAAAGACTCAGGAAAGGGAAAGGCTGGCACAGATGGGCAGCTCAGGAGAGGATCTCCTCTCAGCCAGGATGCAGGGAAGGAAAAGCATTTGTCCACGCTTTTCCGTTATTTTTAGAGGCATTTGCTGCTCAGCCCCTCCAGCTGCCGTTTCCCATTGGTGGGGTCAGGCATTAGCTGCTGTTCACCAGAGGCTTTTGGGAACACAAGCGGAAGGTCCCCAGAACAGGAGGAGACACCTGGTTGCAAACAAGCAGCAGGAGAGAACAAGAAGCCTACGGAGGAAAGCCAGTTTTATGCCCAGTGCTCCCCCACACCGCAGACAGGCCAGGCCAAGGGCAGCAGTAATGGGAAGGGGGCTCCTGAACAGAAACGTGCCCTGCAAACACTGCAGGTGTCAGCAGCTCATTTCAGTGGGCAGAATGTGGAAACAGAGGGCCCAGCCAGAAAGGTACTTACTATACTGGAAGGAAAAGAAAAAGTAATAAACCTGGATGTCATTGTGGGGATTCCAGTCAGAATCATAAATAATGACTGTGTCGGCTGTAGCAAGGTTTATGCCCAGACCACCGGCGCGGGTAGAGAGGAGAAAGCAGAACTGCTGAGCACCAGGAGCTGAGAAAGACAAACCCACAGGTGGTAAAAGGTGAGACAGAGAGGAGCTTGGCTTACTTGGAAGGGTGCAGTACCGTGCTTTAGTTATAAAACATCAGGAATCATCAGTCTAAGCCAACAAGCAACAGGCAGGGAAGGCAAGGAGTACAAATACATCACTGCCTGGAAATCAGTTATTGGAGAAAATACAGCTCCAGACCTGAAGGGGAAGCTCTGCAGCCTACTGAGGCCTTGAAGGGATATGCCAAGTCTCTCAAGCCAAACAGGCTGTCAGGACCAGGCTCAGACACCACTGGAGGGTGCATGCAACCCCACACACCACCTGGGTTGTGTGAGCGGGGGCTGTTCAGGCACAGGCAGCCTGACCCCGCTGCTGGCTGCTGCCAAAAATCCCCCCCAGCAGGCAGTGCCTGCACCTGCTCCTCCAAGGGCAGAAAAGCAAGTACCATTAAACCTGTCTATGGCCTCCTGGCGCAAGCCTCCGGTGATGCCCCCATCTATCCGCTCGTACTTGTAGCCTTCGTACTCCAGGAAGTCCTCCAGCAAGTCCAGCATCTTTGTCATCTGCAGGACGAGGCAACCACGGTGTGAGCAGCTCTGCAGGAACCTGTGCCACAGAGAGCCTGGCCGTGCCCAGGGCTGGGGGACACTGCTGCAAACAGCAGCACCCCGAGGCACTGACCGTGCTCCCCACATCCCGCTGTGTGCCCTGGAGCCACTGCCAGGCTCACCCCCACAGCCTGAAGGTCACGGTGGGCAGCAGCCCTGCAAGCAGCAGGGTACTGCAGAGGAGCAGCACTCACATCTCATCCTCCAGAGGCAGCTTTGCCAACATGAGGGCATTATGTCTGAACGGCCTTCCCCAAGGGGAAGCGCTATTACTACTCTCTCTCTTTTATCCACAGATAAATAAATAAAAAAGTTTTAAACACTACAGGGACTCCCTCAGGAGAGGGACGAATGCAGTCCATCCACCGTGACTGCCAAGGTGTCACACTGTGATATAAGCTGTCAGCAGCTCTTCCACCTATCTCTATCTGTACCTAACAAAATTCTCATACAGAACAAAAAAAGCCTTCATTTTGCAATTTTGAAGGTTCCTCACTAGCCCTTCCACACTGCTCACCTGGGAGAAGATCAGAACCCTGTGACCCCCATCCCGTAACTTCTTCAGCATCTTTTGGAGCAGCATCAGTTTCCCAGAAGACTTAACCAAAGAATTCCCATCGTAAGATCCATTGGGCAGAACCGGAGCCTCCTGTGAAGACATTCTGGTTAGCCTTGAGTAAAACATTCAGTAACTTCAGGGAGAAACTCACACGCATTGCAAGGACAAAATATTTGTATCAAATCACTCCCACCAAAACCTGCACCTTTAACCAGAGACAGATCATGGAAACAACCCCACTGAGGGATTACACAACGCTCTGTGAGATGTCTCCACACAGAGTTCACGTACCACAGCAGCCACAGGGAAGAGGTACGGGTGGTTACAGCACTTCTTCAGATCCATCATGATGTTGAGCAGTGAGACCTGGTTCCCTCCACCTTTGGAATTCAGGGCTTCAAAATTCCTTGTCAGTATGAACTTGTAGTACTTCCTGCACAGATGGGGATGGGACAGACACCGGTATTATGGGCCTGGCAAAAACCAGATGGCACCAACGAACTCCAATTAAGTCAATGGAGCTTCAAAAGGGCTATCTGGTACAGGGACTTTTTTTTTTTTAAATGATGGTTCAGCATCCCCAGCCTGGGGCCAGGTCCGTTTGGCTGTTCTGCGGACACCACAGCCCCTGCCCCAGGGGAGCCAGGCACAGCCTGCTGCGATGCTGTTACTCACTTTTGCATTTGGCTCAGCTCCACTCTCACTATCAGCTCTGTCTTGGCCGGCATGTTCTTGAAGACATCCGCCTTGAGCCGCCGCAGCATGTGGGGACCCAGCAGGTCATGGAGCTTTTTGATCTGGTCCTCCTTGGAGATGTCTGCAAACTCCTCCAGGAATCCTTCCAGGTTACTGTGAAAGCAGCCACAACACAGCACTAAGCAAAAGGGACATTTTTGCAGGCTGTTCTCCCTTTCCAGGGAGAGAACTTGTGCAACTTACTTAAACCTCTCAGGAGTCAGGAAATTGAGCAAGTGGAAGAGCTCTTCCAAGTTGTTCTGGAGTGGAGTCCCGGTGAGCAGCAGCTTGTAATCAATCTTGTAGCTATTTAATACTCTAAAGAACTTGGAAAAGAAATCACATGAAGTTAAAAGAACTCCGAGGAACTGACAAATCATCTGGGAACAATTAGATCTGCAGAGTGCACACGTGGAAACTCAGCAGTGACCCCTCCTCCCTCTCCTTGTGCAAAGCCAGACCACCGCCTGCATGTCCTGCTCAGAGCCATTCCCACTCATTCAAAAAAAAAAAAAAAAGCAAATTGCTTTTTCTCAAAAATCAGAACAAAGAAAACACTCCACTGTGCGTTCTGCTTAAAAAGCACCAATGGCTTCTTCCCTTTGTTTAAAACAACCAGCCTCGTGTCTTTTGCATGCAGAGCTGGAGCACTGAACATAAAAGATGTAAAACTCCTGAGTGCATCAGACACTTCCCTGCCTGTCTGCCTGCTGGCTTCATGCTGCTGCAGGACAAGCTGAGCTCTTCAGCCCGTGCTTCATCCACCAGCAGGCAGGCTCACTGCCCCGAGCCTGCTGCTGGCACCACCAGCCAGGCTGCCACCTAGCTCACTACTGACGGCTCTCTAATGCGAGAGGGCGTCAGAGAGAGAAATCCCACTGAAACACGCCCCAGGCAGAGCCTGTGCAAGCTGAGGACATCTTTCATCCCAAGCAGCAAAGTGCAGAGCAAGAGACTGGCTGTGCAGGGGGCATTTTATCTCTGCAGCAAAAGCACTGGGTTGGAAGAATTGCTCACAAATGACTGCTACCTACTTTGGACTGGTTGTTCTTCAGCCTGTGTGCTTCATCCACCACCAGACAGGCCCATTCTATCGAGCCCAGCACCGCCTGGTCAATGGTGATCAGCTCGTAGGAGGTGAGCAGGACATGGAACTTGATTTGGGCTTCCTTCTGGAGGAGCAGAGGAAGAGAAAAGCCAGGTTACAAGACGGTAGGAAATGGGACAGCCTCCACCAGTGGTGCTGCTGCAAGTGACACCAATTGTTCATGCCAGCAGAACCCATCTGAACATTAGAATGAAGCAGGGGATTACAGAAACAGAAAAAGGTCTGGCAGAAATCTTCACAGCCTCTTTGGAAAAGAGCTGATTAGGGACCTAAGGAACCTCCCTCTCTGGAGGTCAGTCAGTGAGAACAGGGGCAGCACACAGACTTAGCCCCTACCTTCATCCGGAAGACTTTCTTCCCACTGCGGATGGCATTGTCTTCAAAAGAGAACTCATTTTCCCGGATGACCGACCGGCTTTCTTTGTCCCCTGTGTAGGTCACGACGTAGAAGTCAGGCGCCCACATCTCAAACTCACGCTCCCAGTTGATGATGGTGGAGAGCGGGGCACTGACCAGGTACGGCCCTTTCGAGTGGCCCTGCTCAGGGAGACAAAGCCCAAGCTGCTCCCTCTGTGCCAGGAGGCTGAGCAGCTCATAGCCATCCCAGGGACTGCTGTGTGCTCACCTCCTTGTACAGGGAATACAAGAACACGATGGTCTGCACCGTCTTCCCCAGCCCCATCTCATCAGCCAGGATTGTATCAGTCCCTTGGGCCCAGGAAAATCTCAGCCAGTTGAGCCCTTCCAGCTGGTAAGGATGGAGCGTGCCTCCCGTAGCATCGATGTACCACGGCTGTTTGTCAAACTTAACTGTAGGCTGAACAAAGGCACAAAGCAGTCATCAATTCCCTCTCCCTTCTCTGTAGTCGAGCACATCCCTCCTTGGGACACAGAATGGCCCCAAAAGAGATGCAGACACAGCCCTGCCCCTTAGCACAGGTCTTTCACAGCACACGTCCATTTCTCCCAGTGCATGTGAGACCTGCACAGGTTTGGGGAAAGGAGACCCCAAACATCCTTGTGCACAGGGTGAAGGACCCCAGAGCTTCAAATGAAAAAAAGAAAAAGAAAGAAAGAAAGAAAAACTGTCTCTGAAGGGACGAAAGAAGAAAAACGTAACAGGTTCGGGACACAGAGAGACCTTCCTTTTTGTGGGCTCACACATCCTCTTGCTGAACCCACCGTTCTTACTTACATCAACAAGAGGAGTTTCTGGAGGCTTTTCTAGCTTCTCCTCCTTCAGCTTTTTCCCTTTCTTGTTCAGCTTCTTTAGAGGGCGTGTGTCTTCCCCCAGCATCAGCTCCCTGAAACAGTGAGCACTCATCGGGAAAAGGCAGACAGACATTTGTCTCCCGGTCTCAAGCCAGGGGTTAGAAATGCCTCTCAAATTCCACTGCCTGTTTCCCCACAGGAGCTTTTCTGGCCCAGTTCCCATGGGCACTCATGGAGCATTAATTATCCCCTTCCAAGAGTCCTTGCAACATCAGCCAAAATGAAGGACAGCAATCTCATCCGAGCGTTATATTTTCCCCCACAACATATACACAGCAGCACCATGGAGCCTCCATGAAGCACAGTGAGGCTGTGAGTATTTCCAGCAGTATAGATGTAGGAGAAGAGGAGCAAGAGCTGGAAAACAGCCAACAGACAGGATTTCAAGGCAGCCCTGAGTGGTGGAGCATTTCCATGAGAGATCTTACCAAGACCCAGCTTTGAGAAAGTGCTCAGCAACCACCCTCTGAAAGGCAGCTACAGGTGTGCAGCACACATCAACTGCAGTCACACCTGCCTGGATGGCTCGTACCTGTGATTCCAGTAGAGGAGCTTGAGGTTTTCGTAGTAGGGAATGTCAATCTCATCGATCTCCCAGGTGCACTGGTCATACGGCAGATCTTTCCACTTGATCAGGTAATGAATGTCTCCCTTTTTATCGAAGCTATAATACACCATGTAAAACATATCAATGAGACAAAAAAAGTGATGAAAACAGCCTCTGTGTGCATTTCACAGTATTGGCACAATGCTCACTTTGAAATGAAAATCTTTTGAGACAAGAAACCCTACACACAACAGTACCTGACGTGGTAATTCCTCAGTGGCTGTCCCAGACACCCAGGAGACTCACATCTGAGTCTGCCAGAGCACAAGCCCCAGAGACAGCTGTTTGTCTGACAGCTCTCATCTCTCTGCCACGCACAGATGAGTGTACGTCCACATATAAATATGGACTACTGCCAGCCGTGGGTGGAGACAGCATGTCCAAGGGCAACAAGTCCAGGAGCATCCCCCTGGAGGAACACCACGGCTTCATCAGCTGGAGGCATGATCCCCAGGAAAAAGCTAACCATAATCTGCTTCCACAGAACCGGATACTTCATCCTCTGCGTTTGCATACATTCCACGACATCCAAGCATAGCTAAAAAAACCATGAGGAAACCATCGACAGTTTCCAGCAGAAATGCCCATTAATCTGCTGTGCATGTTAGCCAAAAGCCACCACAGGCTCTGTCCATGTTGCCTGTGACATGGCATGGTTCTTCTTGTCTCTGTTAATAAGCTACTGGTCCACACCCTAAAGAGCAAGTACTTATACCCGCACTTTAATTTTATACACGTATCTGTTCCACATTGGCACAGGAAATTGCTGTTGTTTATCACAGGTGATGGCATTCCCATGGAAAAAGCTCTAAAGGCTTCTCTTCCATTTCACTGAACCCTGTGCTCCTGTTTTACCAGGACTGGATGAAGAGCAGAGCTTACTCTCTTTTTTCTGTAGCATTCATTACTCGATGAAGCTTCAGTTACACTGAAAAATGAACAAACACACTACAGAGGCCAATTATGTACCTATGGGAAAATAAACTTTGCCTTATTAGCAGACAATGTAAAGCTCGCAGGAAAATTAGCCAGACAGATTTGTTTGTTTTCTGTCAAACAGCCTCCAAGCAGTGTGGCTGCTTGAATTTTCAAGTTGCCACTTGAAATATAGAAATTCAATAAAAAGGTGTTTCTAGCTGCTTGATGTAAAAAAAAAAATAATATTTGCACAGCAGATTTCCTGTGCAGGATATTTCTTCTGCACAAAGGAAATGCAAACGTCAAGGCTTCATCACAGAGTAAGGCACTTGTTCAAATTCCTATCCTCGGGCACAGTTCCTACCAGCAGTAGGAGGAGGTAAGTGGGCATTATGCACCTCTCCAGTACGTGTAATATCGGATCCCTGCTGCCAGCTTACCTTTAATGTGAATGCAGATGGGCTGCATGGTTTCTGAGAGGAACAAATGACCTACACAGAAATGGACCGGTGTTCAAAAGCAGTTTAGGTCAGCAATAGCAGCCACAGGGTACAATCGATGGAAGAAAGCCTGATCACCAGGTTGCAGCAGCAATTTATGGAATAATTAGGCTGCATCGGGGATCCAAACAATACATCTGGGAAGAATGGAGCAACTCTATGCAGCCAACTTTTGGGAAAATTTACTACCTCTATTATTAATGTGCAACATAACCGAAGTGAAAATAAGGCATCAATTCACTGCTGGTGCTGGTATCACCTCAGGAGCAACCACCCCAAGGTGACAGCAACCTTGAAACAAGCCAGCAGCTGAAATTCTATCAGACTGGGAACTCAGTTTTGCAGAGGGACAAGAACTTTCAGCCTTGGGGAGGAGACCTCAGTCAACCCTCCCTTCACCCAAACCAGCTGGCAGCTCAGGCTGCTCCCCAGAAACTGGGCACTGCCCTGAGACTGGGAACATGCCCGCATGGGCTGAATGTGCATGGCCTTCACCATCACTGCAGCAGCTCTGTATGTGTGGATTTCGGGGCTGGAACAGCCCAGCCAGCACATATCGGCTGCTCCTGACAGGCAGCTCCAGCCAGATGTCCTCAGCAAAACCACAGACAGCTACTGCGGAGTTAACAGTTGCCATAAACTGGGTTTTATACAGAAATCCCACGGCTGGCAGTGTAATAGGTGTCCCAGGGTGTGACAGGTGCCCCAGGAGCTCAGCTCACCAGACAGACCATCAGAATTAGATCTGTGCACAAAGGGAAAACCAGCACAGGAGACTGAGTGGCCTCTCAAAGCTCCAGCTGCTAAGCTTGGGGGGGCACGGGGAGGGTGACACCACTCCCCAGGGATCCGGGCGCCCTGGCAGCACCCTTCTGCTGCCTGTTCCTCCTCACCTGTGGTTCAGGATGCGGTGGATCATCATCCACTCGGGCTTGATGCCGTAGCGGTAGAACCGCTCCTCCATCTTGGCGTACTGCGGGTCCTTGTTCTTCCGCTTCTCCCTCTGGCTGTCCTCGTCCCCAGAGCCGTAGTCGAAGGCCGGCGGCTCATCCATGTCGTTCTTCCTTTGGTAGTTGCGGTACATCACCGTGTGGTAGAGCTCCAGCTGCAGCAGGACAGAGCTGCCGTCACCCCTCCGGCTGCAGGGGAACGGCCAGGGCCAGGGCACACCGTGGCCAGCCCCATGCTCACCTGCAGCTCCTTGACCCAGGAGCAGTGCCAGTAGGACAGCCCTGCCCACTTGACGAAGAACTCCCGCTCTGGGATGCCCTCCAGCACCTTGGGCAGTGGCAGAGGCAGCTCCGCATCCGGGGCCGGCAGCGTGGACGGGAGCGGGGCTGGTGGCTCCTTCCAGGTCCAGTGCAGGATGCGTTGCACCTTGCCCTTTAAAGGGGGGCACTGAGGATGAAAAAGAAAATCCACAAGAGCGCGTGGTTTAACGTGAACCCTGTCAGGCCTCGGATCCCCCCACATCCCTCCCTCCAGCCCCCAGAGCCCCAGGTGTCCGTGTGAGCAGCCCCCCTGTGGGGACAGGCCTTGCCACCAGGGCAGCCTGAGCACCATAAATGTTTCATTACTCCCACATTTAATTCCCCAGCACAATTCAAGGCCCCACAAATCACGCCTACCTCCGCAGCAAGCCTGCCTCAGGGGGAAAGGCCCCCCTAACACAGGGCATGCATCAAATGGGACTTGACAAGCAATCTAAAAGCCAGCAGCCTACATGGGGAGATTATGCAGGCAGCAGAGCTGCCTGGGGACAGGCAAAGCCCCGGGGGGACAGGCAGGGCCCCGGGGGGCGATGCTGTCCCAGGAGCAGTGCTGGCAGCAGAGGGCAGGAGCCAGCCCAGCAGCAGGGCCCAGGGCAGTGGCACAGCCGCAGGAGGTGGGTGCAAGGGGCTGGAGGGCAGGGCCGTGGGGCCAGCAGGAACGGGAGCAGGAACAGGGCGATGAATGCTGGAAACACTCACTGTACAGCGAGGGCAGAGCCATTCACCGTTTGGTATCTCGGGCAGGGGCGGGTTCAGGCAGTGCAGGTGGTAGGATGACGGGCACGTGTCGCAGCACAGCAGCTCCCCTCCATCCTTACAGACACGGCAGAACTCCATGTGGTCATCCTCCTCTTCTTCGCCACCTTCCTCTTCCTCATCCTCATCCTCCTTTGGCTCCCACTGGATCCCCTCCTTCTCCTGGGGAAGAACATCCAGCTGCATCAGGTTGCCCAAAGCCCCCTCCAGCCCGGCTCTCGTTGCGGTGCTCTGCTTTGCTTGCAGAGAAATGAAAGCTCTGCACGGCACACAAGGTGGGGAACGGGACACCGCCGTGCCCAGGTGCTGGAGGGGGTGCAGGGAAGGCTGTGGGCGCTCTGAGCAACCCCCTCCCCAGCAGGCCCCAGCCCTGGCAGCACCGAGCAGGGCTGTGGGAGCAGAGGGAAGATGATGGCGCGTCCCCAAGCTGGGGACAGAGCCCAGAGGCACCCTGAGCAGCATCTCCACGTCTCCCAAGAGATGTTTCGCCACCAGATATGCCCCCCACCCGGGCAGCGGAGCCCACACTCACACAGTGGGGGCAGCTCCACTTGCCCTCGGGGGCCTTCTCCAGCTCGGGGTCCAGGCAGACGAGGTGGTAGGCACGGGGACAGGTGTCGCACAGGATGATCTCCCCTCCCTGCTGGCACACCTCGCAGTAGTCCTGGTGGTCTGTCTCGTATCCATCCCCTTCTTCAGCTACAAGCAAGGGACAGGCGCACAGTCAGCAGGGCAGCAGGACGGCCCGCTCTCCCAGGAGGGAATGGGACAATCGCTCCTCTACGTTAGTTAAAGAAGCAAGGGAAACATTTCGCCTCGGTCCCCTCCTGTTACGTCCCCCTACCTCTCTGTCCCTCAGCACCAGAGTTTATCTTTGCACACAGCATCATCTCACCTCTGTCTTTCTCTCCACACTGTATCATCCTTTGGTTCCTTCAGGCTCTCAATGGAGAATGCCAGAACCTGGAGAGGTTGCAAGGGAGGCCAGTCAGAGAAACCTCCACAGATACCAGCACCGTCAACTGCAAATGTACCATGCAACATAACACAGCTGAGGAGGGCTCTCCTCCTGGGCCTCCTCTGCTCTCCCTGGCTGCTCACTAGGTGCAGACGCAGCTCTTCCAACTCCGTGCAAAGGGAAGAGGGAAAGAGGGACACCTCGCAAGTGCTGCTAAGACTCTTCTCAACTCCCAGCACTGCCACAGCCTCCGGGCACAGCTCTCCCCCAGCAGGGCAGGGCAGGACAAGCAGCCCAGCCAGCCCCTGCCCTCTGCCAGGGCTGCCCAGCCCGCAGCAGGAGCCATCGGGCTCCAGCACAAGGGCCTGCATCAGCCCGAGCCACTGCTGTGACATGCCAGGAGGGGAAGAGACATCCTTCAGAAGGGAGACACCGAGCCTGCCAGCCAGCACGGCCTCCCTAACCCAGTGCTGGGAGGCCCACACGCTGCGTGGGAGCACGGCCACTCACCTCCTACCTGTCCCCGAGCCCAGGAGCCATCCTTTCATTTCTCAGAAGCAAAAACTTGCCAGTAAAGAAGCCGAAGCCCAGTGGCTTGGGGTAGCTTGGTGCAGAACAACTGCTCCCAACGAGGGCGGAGACGACCAGACCAACTCCAGGCCCTCCACAAGTGAAGGAATACGCATACAAACACAGCCACAAGGCCACTCAGAGACCCTGCCAGATGCTTTCACTGATGTTCACATGCCTCCATCTTCCTGCATCACTACCACGGCCCTGCTGCCTGCACGCTGCCTGGCCACACCTCTCACACGGCCCAACAAAACCCTCTGACACCTCCTCGCCCACAGCCACACCAACTCCACTGGGAGCCTGCCACGAGCCATGCTTCTCCAGGGGCTGTCCTGTGAAAAGCACTGCCCCTGAAGCCCCACAGATGTCCAGAACTCACTGCCACAGGACAAATCCTGGCAGGCCCAGGTGTGCGAGCAGGGTGGCAGCTGCCCGGGCTGCCCGTGCCGTGTCTCAGTGCCCAAAGCACACCCAGGCTCGTGGGGCGGGCAGGGAGCTGGGTGCTGCAACCACTCCTCTCCCCAAGCAGCTCCAGGTCACAGCACGGAGCTGGCAGAAGGGGGGTGAGCCCCAGGTGGTGGCTGGCAGCTGGGGAGAGGGCTGGAGGGAACCGGTTGATGGCAAGGCCCTGACGCCACGCTGCTCCTCCACCACCACCGCCAGCCCCGTGGGGGTGAGCCCGTGCCCCACAGCCGGATCCATTTGTTGCCTCCTCCTCGGTGCAAGCCCACCAGCAGAGGAGCTCGGACACCAAGAAAGCACCTCTCATCCCACGCACACACACAAGCACATCCTTTCCCACCGAGTCAGTGTCAGACACTGCTTGGAGCTGCAAAGAGCTGGAAAGCACCATCTGAAGAGGGAAATCCAAACAGAACAGGAACAGAGTACAAAGGAATGGCCTACTCCTCTTTTTCTTTCTCCTCCTCTTCCCTCTCTTCCCCAGGCCAGCCGAGCACTCAGAGCGCACTGAGGAGCTGTTGATGCTGGCACTGTCAAAGTCAGGATTCCTCCCGTTCTTCCTCTTCACTCTGCAGAGGGGAAAACCAAACCACACACAGTCCAAGCACTGGCATGCAAGGAGTTATCTCCAGAAAGCACTGCTCTGTATCAGAACAAAGCACCAAAGACCCGCATAAAACAGCACGGCACCACCGGCCAGCAGCTGAGTTCCACGGGTACCCCCCAGAGAAGCGCTGCGTGGTTTCTACATGAACTGACTAGCTACAGCATCATGGAGAGTGGCAGGGTTATTGCACTCCTGGCACTGACAGGCAGGGTTCATAAGAATGTGTCACAAGGCATTAGAAAGCAGGTAAATCTCCTCTATCAGATCGATGGCCCGGCCAGGCAATCAATCAGCCCAGATCTGGACTACAGCTAGAGCTGGAGGACAATTATTCTGCACTGCTCAGCGTTGCACACAGGCAGCTAGCCCAGTTCAGCAGCACCGTCAAAGTGCAATCACCGAGCAAATCTCAGAGCACACATAAAACACCTGAATCAGAGTGCCAAGCCCACGCTGTGCTTGTCTGACACGAGGTGGGCTCTGGGTGGCCCCTGCAGTCTGCCACCCCTGCTAGCACAGAGATGTCACATCGTGCAGCTGCCCAGGCACTTCGGGAAAGGCACAGCAGCTCCGAAGCATCAGGCAGCAGCCAGCTGCAAGACCCCTCTGCTGTGACAGTGTTATCGTGGGTGCAGGTGAGTGTACAGACACCCAAACAGAGGTGCATCATCCTACCCCTACTCCTGTGCAGCCAAGGGTCCCCTCCTCATTCCAGCTTTTTGTTAACCTGTGTGTACGTAGGCATTTATGCTTCACATTCCTCATAAAATGAAAGGAGTTAAAAACACCAAGTATTCTGCGGCCTTAAAACATAACGCGTCTGAATTCTTATTCTGGAGAGCAGATTTACATGTACAAATCCCCAATTTGTGTGCTGTTCATCGTGTGCTTAGCACTCCTGGCTGCAGGAGCAAGCGAAAGCTCCTCCCGAGCCTCAGAAATGCAAATGCACAGACCACAGAGTGCACCCAGACAAGGAATGGATTTTTCTGTGATGTGTGGCTGAAAAATGCATCAGCAAATGAATGCCCCAGATTGCCTCTTTCACTTCAACTTGTGATACACAAACTTATTTACAAACAGGTTGTGTTATGTAAACCAGAGCTAGAGAATCAGGGAATTCAAATACAAGTGAACTAATGGGATTTTGAGCAATATTAGCAAGACCTACAGGAGTTCCATCCCTATTCAATAGATATTTGGCATACGTACTCTCTAAAAAGCTCTGCTTACACCTGATATCCATACACTGACAGGAGTGCTGCACGCAGACTGCAGCAGAGCCCTGCTGCCGTGCACTTACTGGGATGCTCTGGTACCCCCGGGTCATGCTGCGGAGCCCCAGATGCCAGGAGGCAAGCTATGGCAACATAATTAAAGCGTTTGATAATTCTCTTTGACATCCAGTTCAGCTGGAGTGCAAGCCCTGAAGAATTCCTTTGCAAATGAAATCTGAAATGATGGCATTACCGACCTCATCACTGAAACTAAACGTGATTATATGGTTTTAGCAGAAAACATGCCCAGACGTGACATCTTTACGAACACAAGCCTGGACATAGCTCTCTGTCAAGGGATGAACAAACAAGTGCTGAACAGAGACGGCATGGAAGAGGGGCATGAGCAAGGCTGGAATGCTTCTTTCCAGCAGCCTTGTTCCCAAAGCCCTGTCCAGAAAAAAGGGAGCACACACTTACAGAGGAGCCCTTTTTCCTTTTGCTGGGGATTCCTCCAAACCGGAATTTCAAGCCTGCCATCTTTTTCCCCTTCCCCTTTTTCTTCCCATCTTTGGAGCCCTTGATTTTCTTCCGCACACCTGGACCTGGAGAAATGAAAGACTTGTTTGGCACTCTACGAACAGCTGTCCCCAGAAACAGCTCCCACCCCAACCCCAGAATTTAGCAGGGAAGTGGCCAACACTGTCCCGGGAGTCCTTTGGGGGCAAAAGGCTGCAAGCCCATACCCAATGCTTGGGAAAAATCAGAGGGACAGCCTGTCACGGGAGGAACGCATCTACCCTGCAATGCAGGAGAGGGACTGCAGCCTGGGGACCACCACGGGGCTGAGTATTCCCAGAAAGTGTTAGAAGTCTGCAAAACAGGGAGAAAAGAGGCCTCTCTGCCAAGACAGCCGAGGAGACACAGCCTGCAGGAACACTGCACTGAGGACGAAGCGCAAGGAGGCTGCTGCAAGCTGCACTCCTGGTCAGCTGCCAGCTCCAAGCTACTTGTTGAAAACCCCTCGAGGCATCAGGCATTGATGCCTGCATAACTGAAACAGCACCTGTTCCTGAAGAGAAACATGGTGCAAACAAAGGGATAGCTCTCCTTTTCTCACCGCTGCCCAGCTGCTACAGCAAGTCCACGGCTCTGCGTGCCCAGCAGGGGCACAGCACACCGCGGGGGACAGCAGCGCCTCCACTCAGCCCAGCCACGCTTGGCACCTACCCTTGCCCTCCTTGGTTTTAGCTTTCCTGATGACAGCGGGCAAGGCAGACTGCTGAGGGCTGGCAGCCAGCGGTGGAGCAACAGTGACGGTCTCCACTGCTGCAGCGACGGCTGCCGCGGCTGCAGCCGCTGAGCTGCCCTTGAAGGGGTTGTTGGCGCTGAACTCTCGCCACTTGGCCCCAAGCACAGTCATCATCTTGGACATGGGGATCTTGGGGTTCTTCTTGGCGATCAGAGGCCTGCAGGGTGGGGCAGAGGGAAAACCACAGGTTAATAGAAATGAATGTTTGCTCCCGCTCGCCACGTGCTGCAGGAATTCTTCCTCCCTTGGAATCCATCGGTGGCACAACTCGTGGCTGCAGGTTGCTGTGGACCACTGGTACATGCTCCACTGGAAAGGCAGCAGAAACCAGAACTTTCTTAAAGAGGAAATATATAACGGAGCACGCTTAAATGTCCCAGAAATACCTGTTGTGTTTGAACAGCTCATAGTACAAGTAAAAATTTCTATTGTTATTCATTTATTCTATGGCAACTTTTCAAATAAACACACAAAAAAAATACTGAATTTTGGAGAGAGTAAAAGGAGTGAAACACTTCAGCTGTTTCTCCTGCAGTTACAATGCAGTCCTGAAAACCATTTCTAGTCTTGGAGGGAGAAGCAGCGAGGAGCTTGTGATGCAGAATTTACTTCACAACTTCACCCTCTTAGCTGGGCCATGTCCAAATCTCAACCGCTACCCAAGACCCCATCCAGACCTACAGTGTAATACCTGAGAAACTGGCTGAAAGCCTTGTAATTAGTCAGAGTATGGTAATCTTCTTCTGAGAAAATGTAATCTACATCATCGAGGCCCCATTCTTCCATCAGCTGGGCTGAGCTCTTGGGCTCCTGTAGATTTACAAAGAGACATAATTAATGTAAATGACTGTGGCTTTGCAGATGAGCAGCGCAAGCCTAGGTCTGTCGTATCCTCCAAGTCAAATGCTCTTCTAGTCAGCAACACATAGGGATTTGTTTCTGTAATTTTTTTTTAAAGCATGCACAAGTGCTTAATAAATTAATGCTTCAGAGAATTCCGAGAAGCAAATTAATGTGGCACCATCCAAATGCTCCTCGTTCCATGCAATACAAATGCAAAGCCTTAGCAGGTTTCATGTCTCCAAGAAACATCAATTTCTCCCTGTACCCAATATAAATAAAGGCAATACAACCTTTCATCTGCCAGTAAAAATGCCAGGCTGTGCTTGAGAGCCCTTGATGAGAGTCCATCACAGGGCTGGGTTGCTGCTGGAATTGCGTATGCTCCATGGCTTAAAAACCAAAAAACTACCTCAAACAACATCAGCACTGTTATGGCTGCACATTTAGATAACTGTAGTTTTCCATTGTTTTCCTTGTTTCTGCTTTAAGTTAATTAGCTGGCTCAGGATAAACAACCCCTTGGTACCTTCAGGCCTCCGTCATCATTGTCATCGTCCTCTTCATCCTTCTTTTTCCGCTTTGTTTTTTTCTCTTTCTTTTCCTTCAGTTTTTTCTTTTTCTTTTTGTTGGGGGAATAGTCGCTTCCTTCACTCTCAGATTTCTCCTCAATCTCCTCTTCGTTGTCTGATATTTCATCATTGCTCCCCTAAAACAGAAAGTGACAGTGGAGAGGACGCTGCGCCTGTCCTCCCTCAGCCGCATCCATGTGAACGGGTGCGGGCTCTGCCCCCGTACTCTAAAGCTGTCCTCTGAGAGTGCACCCAGGGGCTGTGCTACCACAGCGTTCAGGTACCCTTCTGATGTGTGGTGGTGAAAAAAAGGAAGCCAGGACGTGGCAAGTCAAGTAAATGAATGCATACATTAAAAATAGCTGCGTAGTGAACCAAGGAGCAATTCCACCAAAAGGTCCTCAATGTTCACACAGGGGATACTCAGGGAACTTTTCTGACTGCTGTAACTCAGGGTAGCACACATTCTGTCTCATGTTTGCTTATGGTATTACACGAGTACGGCAACGTTTTTCTACCACAGTGTTAACAGCTAAGAACCTCCCGTCTTGGCCACGCATGGCCTTAGCAGCGAGACGAAGCACGTCAGAGGCCTGTGCCCCGCGGCATGGCTGACAGACACAGCCAGGCCCCACCAGGTGTGGCAGAGCCAGACTGTGGGGACTGGGATTTGGGCTCCATTTTGGGACAGCGACCTGCTGCACAGCTCCGACAGCACCCCCCTCACCACCCCAACCTCCACACCAGGCAGCCCCCGGCCCCATTGCCCCAGCCATCACCCCACGGGCCTGGTCGCTCTGCCTGAGCCGTGCCTGGCTCCAGAGGCCGAGCCCGGCTCCAGCCCCACGCTGGCACCTCACGGGCAGCTGATTGTTTAAACATACACCATCGACTGCTCCTGCTGCAGGTTCAGCTTGGCTCAGCGGCCATCGCTGGTCCTCCTTGCTTTGGAAAAAAAAAAAAGAGCTTTTCCTTTAGCAGTGTTATAAACAGTTATAATTTAGCACTGAATAATTGGTTGCCATGGGAACTGCTGCAGCACAGGTTGAGATTCCCTCTCCCCGCTTTCTTGTCTGACAAGGACCTTCATCTACATATGCTGAGGTTCAAGCTGCAGCCTGGTTATTTTATGCAGATCTTTCTGGTTTGCAGCATCAATTCCAGCAGCGGAGCTCCAGCGAGCACCGCCACAGATGCCTGAACGCGTTACAACGAGCCCACGCCAACAAACCCCCATAAAGGTGCAACGTGGCACCACGCCTGCCACACACACTAATGACAAAAACACGGGAACCTGGGGTGGCAGCCAGTCGTGGCTTCAGCACCGGCATCGTGTCACAGCTTTACACCGCATTGCCGCCTCCCTCTTCCTTTAACATGGGGAAAAGAACCTCCTCCTACCCCACAAAACTTCAGAGAAGGTGTTTAGGAGGAGAAAGCCCAGCCCAGGGGTCCCTTTCCTTTCACCTCCTCACCCCAAAACGCAGCCTGGGTGCTGGTAAGAAACCCAGCTCACTGTCACAGCCACGGCACTGGCTCCTCGCTGGCTCTGAGGGAAGACAGAAAAACCTCCAGCAGGCAGAACCCAGCCTGATTAACACTGCCCATACAAGGCATTAATTAAAAAAGAAAACGCTCCCGACATTCATCCCATTATCTCCTCCCCACCCCCAGTGAGGAAGCAGGCAGACCCGGCACAGGCTGCACATGTTGCTGCCATGGCCTCGGGCAGGCTGACGCTAACAGAGAACTGCCAGAAATGAAAATACCACAGGTTTGTGTTTTATTTTTCCCCAACCGAAAAGCAGCACAGGAAAAATGTGTCCCATGACGAAGAACGCACAGGAAGCAAGGCGGCCTGAGCCAGCTTTGTGTGGTATCTGCAGAAGGAGATCAGCATCTCCATGGCCACGATGGAGGGGAAAAAGCTTCCCCCGGGCTCCGACTTCTGCTCAAAGCCTGCCAGGCAATACAGTGCAGGAGCAAATCACTTATTTTTTTAAATACACACCTTGCTCCCGTCACCAGCAAAAGCACTTTAATGTGCAACTTCAGCCAGCCAGCCTGTTCTCACAGGACCCACAGGGAGTGGCAGCGATGACTGGAAGAGAACAGCATCACTGGTCCCCTGCGAGGCCACATGAAGGGGCACAGCCTGCCCTCCCGAGAGCTGGCAGGAGCTGCAGGGACAGTGACAGCCCTGCCTGGGGTGTGACAGCCACCCAGCCATCGAACGGGACACGAGGGAGAGTCCCAGGTTAGAAGCGGGTGAGGGGAAGGATCGTTCAGGCAATGTGAGACCCAAAACATGATGCTTGTCTTTGCTTTCGCACAAAAGGCCCCAAAATCCTTCCACATGCTAAATCCTGAGAAGCCTCTACCCGGGCTTCTTGCAGAACGCCCTGGTCCATCACCTGCAGAAACCTCCGGCCCTGCACTGGCCACGCGCCCAACGCCTTGGTTTGCCCAGACACGGCACCGGCACAGCTCGTGGCAGCAGGACTTACCCTCTGCCACCAGGGACGATGGCAGGGAGGTGCTGCATTGCAGCAGGACGACGAGCAGGAGATGGGGGTGTCACCACCACACGCCACAACATCAGCACCACAGCCCCAGAGGGAGCCTGGGCACCCTGGTGCAAGGGAGAGGGCAGAGTGCCAGCACTGCCATGGCCACGTGGCATACGGCAAACCCCCAGAGCACCACCACAAGACCTGTTTTCCAGCGTAACACCTGCCTGCACGCTTCCTGGTTGCTCTACCTCTGCCATCTCAGCACCGAGAACCCCAGGAGGCAGCATCCTCATCCTCGCAGCTCTCCTCGTCTGCGAGGTCTGATCAGTCACCACCCGACGTGTGACGGGCGGGACACGGGAGTGAGCACAGGCAGATCAAGATTACGTGCACACAGCTGGCACAACGAAGGGCTGTCAGTAATATTTACCGCACGCGCTTCCAGCATGAAAGGAAACACTCCAAAAGGAACAGATTCTCAAAATGCCAGCAACCAGAAAGAGGAACACTTCAGAGCGCAGATGGATGCCCTCTCCTCATCTTCCATCACATCGCTGCCCTATCAGTGCCGTGTTTGATGGCACAGCCTCTATTCCTGGCACAGCTCAGCAGGGTACAGACATGCTGGGGAAGTGCTAAAACACAGCAGTCCTGCGAGTGGTCAGCGGGAGAGAAGAGGAGCCACCTGGCACCACAGGAACATGAACCTCCCGGACTGGGAGCTGTCCCAGCACTTTGCCACCTTTGGTTACTATTTCCTGCACATCGTAAGTTTCCCTACCATTCATTTCTTTCTTTGGACAAAACAATAAAAAATCTCCACCTTTCCAGGAACAAAAACGTACAGCTAAGCTGAGGCAGCAAGCACCACAAGGGAGCATCAGATCTGGACAAGAACTGCTCCAGCCCTGACCCTCAGTCATCTCCCCCAAGCCTAGCAGGAACCCGCCAGCCTCATTTCTGAGCACGCAGCGTTACCTCTTTCTTCCTCCTCTTGATTTTGGCAGCCTTGCTGTCTTTCAGCTTCTTGGATTTCTTTTTTTTCTGCACAGCAACTTGCTCTTCTGGGAAAAACTCATCCAGCCCTTCCAGGACCCCATCATCTTCTTCTGAGGACAAAAGGGACAACTTACTGGGATGGCTGTCAGGGACACACAGGACGCAGCACTCGGGCACGTTCTCCCTGGGCACCCAGCAGCCACTCCAGCGCTGCCCCTTCAAGAAGAGCCTCGACAGACTCCTGCCCAGGAGCACCACCGCTTCTCATTTCCCATCACCCATGCACATTCTTACAGGAACGGGAACCAGCCCTTCTAATCATCTGCATTTTGCTCTCTGCTGACACAGGCGCATCAGGATGCTAATGTGCTGCCTGCTCTTATTGATTTGGATGTAGGTAATTAGGAAGCATTAGGCTTTTATCTTTTACCCTTTAGATTTCCCAGCAGAGCCCATTAAAATCGATCCAACCAAGGCAAACGAGGAAGCAGCAGGCCTGGCGTGGAAGATGGGTGCCAGGGCTGGCAGGAGGCAGCTCCTCCACGGCTCCATGCCGAGGAAGCACCACGCGCGCTCAAGCTCCCACTCACCTGCCTGCCTTCCTCACCATCATCACCTCCCCAGCGAGTCCTGGCTCCTCGTGGAACCTCTGCATTTCTTTACGATCCATTCCAGTATTTTTCCCTTCTTTAATTTCTCACCTTACACAGCAATAGCACCCCGGACTCATCAGCCAGGACAGGTTCCTCGTCCGGCTCAAACCACCAGCTCTAGTCCGGCCAAGGCACGCCCCCGAGGATGCCCTCAGGTGTGGGGGGAGCTGGGCAGCACCCAGAGCCCACCCCAAAGCCCCCCGGGCCTCCTGCGGGCACAGCACAGCCCCTGGCTGGCTGGAGGGGGTCTGGGAGAGCCCCCGGCACAGCTGGACTCTGCCCATGGCTGGGCTCACAAAGACACCGAGCAGATTTTAGGGGTGCAGGGGGGGCACGTGAGGAAGGACAAACACACCGAGCAGACCCAGGCCTCCTGCAAGCACTGCTCCAAATAAAACCAGCACAACTTTGGGGTCTGCAGGCTGGAGACACAGCCTTGTGCTCCAGCCGGCGCCACAAGCACCCTGATGCTGGTCTGCTTAGTGTCAGAGGTGGTTACAAACAAATTTGCTCCGAGGAACATGGAGAAAACCTAATTTTGCACCTCCTTCCTCCCTACCTAGTCCTCCAGACACCATCTTGCACAGCCCGGCACTCCCAGCACCAGCACCACGGGGAATGGACCCCAGCTGCCCCCCAGGGAGACGCAGGGCTCCTCGCTCCTCGCTGCCAGGCCCCAAAATTCACAGCTTTGGGGATGGCACGGGGGCAGCACGCTGCTCCGGGGGCACCCACGGCCGGCTTGGGGCTTGTGGGGGCAGCAGAGGGGATGGGGCTGAGGGGGGAGATGGGGGCTGAGGGATGGAAATGGGGGCTGAAGGATGAAGGGGGGACAGGGACTGAGAAGGGGAGATGGGGCTGAGGGAAGGGGATGGGGTTTTGGGATGGAGGTTGAGATTGGGGCTGAGGGATGGAGAGGGGACAGGGCTGAGGGATGGAGGGGAGACAGGGACTGAGAAGGGGAGATGGGGCTGGGGGGAGAAACAGGGGTTGAAGGGGAGGAAATGGGGGCTGAGAGGGGGAGATGGGGGCTGTGGATCCACATCCCGGACCATGCCGGGGGTCCCACCGCACCCTACAGGTCCAGCCACCCCCGGTGTCAGGGTGCTCAGTCCCGACAGCCAGCTGTGTCCCGACAGCCGGCTCCATCCCGACAGCCAAACGGCTGCGCTCCCCCCGTTACCGAGTCCGGTGGCCACTGCCCCCCCACCCCCGTTCCCCCCGTATCCCCCCCATTCCCCCCCCAACACCTCCCGGTGCCGCCCCCCACCCCACGCCCCCTCCCCACCGTGCCCAGCCTCGCCCCCTCACCCCCCTCCCACCCCCGGGGGCTCGCCCCGTACCCGAGACATCCTCGTCGTTGTCCGCCTCCTCCGGCAGCCCCTCGCCCGCCGCCGGCCCCCGCATGCCGGCAGCGGCCGGGCGAGCCCCGGGAGCGGCCCCTCCGCGCCAAGATGGCGCCTGCGCCCCGCCCCGAGCCCGCCCCCCCCCTCCAAAAGGCAGCACCGAGAGGGGTTTTTTGTGTGTGTTTTTTTTTTTTTTTCTCTCTCTCTCTCTCTTTTTTTTTTTTTTCCCCCACGATTTATTCAAGGAAAAAAAAAAAAAATTATAATAAAATGTACAAAACGCTCCCCCCGGGGTTAGTCCTCCTCCTCCTCCTCCTCCTCGTCCTGGTTGATCTGGAAGTAGCGCAGCTCGTAGCTCTCCTTGCTGTTGGCCACCACGCGCAGCCAGTCGCGCAGGTTGTTCTTCTTCAGGTACTTCTTGGTCAGGTACTTCAGGTACCTGCGGGGACACACACGCCACGGGGCACACCTGGGGTCTCCCCGGCACGGCTGCGCCCCCCCCACCCCAGGGCCGGTTGCCATCAGACCCCTCCATGTCCCCACCAACCATAAATCCCACGGAAGGAGGCTTCCCCTAAAGCACAAAGGGCTCCTGGTGCACCCGGAGCAATCCCAGCCACGCTGGGCAGCAGCACAATGCTGGGTGCCTCCCCCTAGGCAGGAGCCCCCCTGCCCCACAGGGCTGGGAGCTGCCTCTCCCCTCTTCACTCTCCAAGACAGCGGGTGGCCACCAAGCACCAGGCACAAGGGGCCACCTGGGTGTCCATCCCAGCAGGGAAAAGCAGCAGCTCGACAAGCAGAGCACCTCTGTGCACACAGGCACCATCTGTCCCCTGCTCCCTGCATGTTTCTCAGCAGCTCCTGGGATGCCTCAGGTACCCCACTGGCACAGAAGCCACTCAGGTGCCGCACTGAAGCTCTTGGAGCAGGACAAGGCAGCAGCACAGCACTGTCCTTACACACGGCTCTCTTTCCACTGTTTCAGACCGCCAGCTTCCTCGCTTGCTACCTCCATCACAGCAAAAATCGAGTTTATCAAAGCCAAAGAAAGGGCAGAAGCATCAGGCAGTCCCAAGAACTAGAGGGACGCCCAGCAGGACGAGGGGAAGGACGCGGCGATGGCTGTGCATCAACCCCCGAGCTCCCTGCTTGGCTTGGCAGTGTGCATCCTGCACGGCCAGCCTCCTGAGCAGGCATTTCAACCCCGTATCCACCTTAAAAATCATCAAGAAGCAGTCACTGTGCCTAACTTCACACAGCACTTAGAGTCAGCAGGCCTCGGTGCACCTTACGCACCAGAACACCTCTTGGTTACTTCAGGTGCTTCCTCACGCCCTCCTGTTTTACAGAAGGGGGTTGGATCTTGCAGCCCTGGCAACTGGCACTGACACCACCCTTAGAAACTCTTGTGCACTGAGCACTGCAACCTGAGGGAAACGAAGCACCTCCTCGTGACACACCCCCACAGCAGGGCACCAGGAAAGCTCAAGCAGGGGAGCTCAACTCGGTCACGAGCAAAGGACCTGAAGCCATCGTTAACCAAAAACCAAATAAAGAGCAGAGGCTGCCCAGCACAACGCTCACAACGCCCTCCTGCTGGGACTTCACCAGGCTCAGAGCCAGCAGCACAGCAGGGAAGCCTCGCGGGACGCCCCCGTGTCCTCACCTCTTTGAGAAGGGAACCTCTGAAGTAACAGTGATCTTGCTCTTGCTCCTCTCGATAGTCACTACGCCCCCGCCCAGGTTACCGGCCTTCCCGTTCACCTTGATCCTCTCCTGCAGGAACTGCTCCTGAAAGAGTGGAAAGAGAAGGCTGAGGCAGGGCCATCCGCAGCGTGTTTGCGTTCAGCATTCCGACATTTCGGTTAGAACTGGGAAGAGACAAAATCACCATATGTCAACAGAAAGCGAGGCAGAGCCCGTTTCCTGCGGGCTGGGAGGCTTTGATCCTCCTCACAGCCGACCCCACCAGCTCACGTGGGCCCATTCACACCTTGACAAAAGCGATTTCCCTAAATCTGGCTGAACTAGACAATTTAACTTCCTACTCTCTGAACTGTTAGTGCCCGTGAAACAAGATGCTTTCCGATTCCTCTTGGACTCGATGATCTTTGCGGGTCCCTTCCAACAGGGCTATTTTAATTCCCACTCTCAAAGAACATCTTTGCCACAAGCTCTTGTCTCAAATCCTCAAATCCGTGCTCGTGCCTGAACACAGCTTGAGGCGCTCTGACCCAAAGAAAGCCCTCATCAGAGGATGCTGAATGTTATCAACACCTCACAGAAAGCTGACCCCTCGGGGAACGCTTCATGAATACCACTCAGCAGACAGAAAGACGAGCACCCTTCAGGTGCAAATCACTTAAACAATAAACCTCGGAGGGCCCCCACGCAGCCTGTTTGCCCTGGGGGTGTTTCCTGGGGGTGCAAACCGCCCGGGAGGCGCTTCCTGTGTGTGTGTGTGTGCTGGGTGGGGGCGGGCAGCAGGCCCCTGACACGATTGGGGCCGGGCACTCACGAAGTTGGCGGCGTCCATGATTCCGTCCTCCACCGGGTGCGTGCAGTCCAGCGTGAACTTCAGCACCTGCTTCTTTTTTTTGCCACCTTTCGCTGCCGGCTTCTTCTGCGGCACGGGGAGAGAGAGAGGAGAGAGAGAGAGGAGAGAGCACAGCGTCAGGGAGAGCGGGCGGACAAAGGGGGGCGACCGGGACCGGGCCCGGCTGAGGCGGGGAGGGGGAGGGGGGGGGGGGGGCCGGGCCCTGTGAGGCAGCGAGGCGGGGGGGGAGGGGGCCGGGCCCCGGCTCCACAGGGAGGCCTCGGCCGAGCTCGCACCGGGCACCAAGCGCGGCCCCGGGGGGCCCCGGGCCCGAGCGTGGCGGTGGCGGTGTGGGAGGAGCGGGACCCGGCGGGGGGGGGCGGCGGGGAACGGGGGGGGCCCGGCGGAGCTCACCACGGGCGCCATGGCGGCTCCAGCGAGGGGCAGAAAGGGAGCGCCGCGCCGCGCGCATGCGCGGAAGGGCCCTCGGGCGGGCAGGGCGCATGCGCCGCCCGCGGCACCGCCTGCGCCCACGCCGCCGCCGGGCCGCGCGCAACGCAATGGGTGGGGAGGGGGGCGCGCAGGGCGCAGGGAGCCCCGCGGAGCGCAGAGAGAATCGATGGGGGCCGCGCTGCTGGGGGCGGGGCTAAGAGCGGGGGGCGGGGCTAAGGGAGGGGGGCGGGGCCTGGTTCCCGCCGGCGCGCCCCTGTCCCCGCGCGGTGCGGGTGGTGCGGGGGGAGGTGGGAAGAAACGGCAACGGGATGGGGGCGAGGTGGGGAGGGAAGGGGACGGGGACACCGCCCCGATGGGACACCCCATCATTGGGGACACCCCAGCATGGGGACACCTTGTCCTGGGGGACACCCCACCATGGGGACATCTCACCATGGGGACACATCATCATTGGGGACGCCCTGTCACGGGGGACACCCCACCGTGGGGACACCCCATCACTGGGGACCCCCCAACGCGAGGACACCCTGTCCTGGGGGACACCACCACGGAGGACACCCCATCACTGGGGACACCCCATTATGGGGTCCCCCCCTATCCCGGGGGACACCTCGCCACAGGGGACACCCCATCTCGGGAGACACCTCCCCATGGGGACACCCTATCCTGGAGGACACCTCCACGGGGGACACCCCATTACGGGGGATACCCGTCCCGGGGGGCACCCCGCGTGCGCGGTGCTGGGGGTCTCCCACCCCGGGACAGCCCCGCTCGAGGAGCGCAGCCCCCCGGGAGGCCCCTTCCCGGGCACGCCCGGTGCCGGCCCCCCCTCCGCAGGCAGCTCGCTCCCTAAAAATAGCCAGCCCGTCCCGGGGCCGCGCCTCCCGGGCAGCGCTGGGGCCGGGCGGCGGGGCTGGGGGCCGGGGCCGGGGTCGCCCCGTTGGGAGCCCCGCGGATGGCCGGGGGCATCTTCTCCCCGCTGGGGAGCTGCTCGGAGCTGGAGAAGGGCGCCTGGCACCCGCTGGTGTGCCTGCTGTGCCACGAGCCCTTCCAGCACCCCTGCCTGCTCGACTGCTACCACAATTTCTGTGCCAGCTGCCTGCGCGGCCGCGCATCCGACGGCCGCCTGCGCTGCCCCCTCTGCGGGTAAGGCGCGGGGACGCGGACACGCGTGGGCACCCCCCTGGACCGGGACTCGTGGGCCACAGCCCCGGCCCCGCACGGTGCCCCCCTGCACCCTGCGAAAGGGCTGGGGCCGAGCCCTGTCCCCATCCCCATCCCCATCCCGCAGGCACCCCTCGGTGGTGAGGGGGGGCACGGGGCTTGCCCCCCGTGGACCGGCTCCTGCAGTTCCTCGTGGACAGCTCGGCCGACGGCGAGGAGGACGTGCAGTGCGCCAACTGCGACCGGCGCTGTGCCAAGGCGGTGAGGGCGAGCGGGTGGGGGGCAGGGGGGTGGCACCCTGCGGTGGCACCCAGCCGTGCCCCCCCCACCCCTCACCACCACCACCGCCCCGCTGTGCCCACGCAGGATCTGGATGCCATGTGCTTCTGCAACACCTGCAGCCAGCCCCTCTGCGCCCCGTGCCGCGAGGAGACGCACCGCGCCAAGGTCTTCGCCCGCCACGAGATCGTTTCCCTCTCCAAGCGCACCAAGGACATCCACAAGAAGTGCCGTGAGTACTGCCCGCACCATGCCGCACCGTGCCACCGCGGGCATGACACCTCCATCCCCTACAGCGCTGCACGAGGAGCCCTACATCATGTTCTCCACCGAGAAGAAGTCCATGCTCTGCATCAACTGCTTCAGGGACATGCAGGGGTGAGTGTCCCCGCGCCCTCCTGTCCCTGCGTCCCCCACCCCGGCCGTGCCCTCACGCCCACCCCCGCAGGGAGAGCCGGGCGCACTGCATCGACATCGAGACGGCGTACGTGCAGGGCTGCGAGAAGCTGGACCAGGCGGTGCTGGTAGGTGGGCGCGGGGGGCGCGGGGACGAGGCATGGAGGCGGCAGCAGCACCACAGCCACCGCGCCACCCCGGGCAGGCGGTGAAGGAGCTGCAGACGTCCACGCGCGAGGCCATCGTCCTCCTCAAGGCCATGATCGAGGAGGTGCGCAACAGTGCCAGCCAGGAGGAGACGGCCATCAACGCCCTCTTCAGCGGCATGCAGGTGGGGGGCCCGGTGGGGCAGCGCACCCCTCCTTGCACCCATGGGTGCCCACCAACCCCTTGGCACAGTGCCGAGGTGCGGCGGAGCCACGGGACGTGCGGCATCCTTGCTGTTTGCAGGAGCAGCTCTCCGAGAGAAAGAAGGCGCTCCTGAAAGCCGTGCAGAGGTGAGGGGCCACGGCTGCACCTCTGCACATTTGGGGGTCTTGGGGCACCCGCTGGCACGGGACGTCCCAAGCCGGCATGGTGGGAGCTGCTGGCACCCATGGGTGCTCGTGTGGGTGCCTCCTTCCTGGGGTGCCCGGGGCCAGGCAGCTCACCCAGAGCCGGTGCCCTTCGCCTGCTCTGCTGCAGCCAGCACGAGGAGAAGGAGAAGGCGTTCAGGGAGCAGCTCGCCCACCTCGCCTCCCTGCTGCCCACCCTGCAGGTAGGGCCCGTGCCAGGCAGGGATGCCAGGCGCCTGCCAACCCCCGGCTCTGGGAAACGGCCTTCCCAGAAGCCGGGCAGGGGCCCCGGGGGAGGTGGCAGCAGTGACACCCCCACACACAGGTCCACCTGGTGATCTGCTCGGCCTTCCTGAGCTCCGCCAACAAAGCCGAGTTCCTGGACCTGGGCTACGTGAGTAGCACCGTGGGGCAGCCGGTGCGCCCTGACGTGGTGCCGGACCCCCGGGCCGTGTGCCGGGCACCCCCGAGCCCTGAGCCCTGCCTCGCCGCTGCCTTTCAGCAACTGATGGAGAGGCTGCAGAGGATCGTGAAGCTGCCCCACCGCCTGCGGCCAGCACAGACCAGCAAGGTAGAGCCCGTGGCTGTGCCTCTGCCCGCCGTCCCCACGGGCAGCCCCGGACACCGGCTCTGCCCTGCCCCAGCCCCACCTGCCCCCGTCTCGCCCCGCAGATCAACACCGAGTACCGGGCAGAGTTCGCCCGCTGCCTGGAGCCCCTGCTGATGCTCACCCCTCGCCGCTCCGTGGTGGGCAGCGCCGGCGGCATCGGGCCTGGCATCGCCGGCACCAACATGTGAGGTGCTGGGGTGCCCCCGGGAGGGTGGGCAGCGAGCAACCCCAGAGGCTGCTGCAATGAGCACAGATGAGGGGGGCTACGAGCAAGGAGGGCAGAGCCCCGCTGGTTTCGCCCTGCACCGGCACCCCCAGTGCAGCCCCCAGCCCACTCCTGCCCCAGCACGTGCCCAGCTCCGCATCCCGCTTGCCCCCCAACCACGCACCCCCCTGCATCTTGCCGTGCACCGTGCCACGCGTCCCTCCTGCATCCCACCGGGCAGCCCAGCACGTGCCCCCTGCCATGCCAAACTTGCCCCCCCCTTGCTGCCCTTGAGCCTGTCACCTTGGAGGTGGCCCGGGGACAGCACTGAGCACAGCTGTGCTGACGAGCGACAGGCACGGGGGCTTCAAGTGACAATTCTGGGAAGCGGGGCGGGCGGGCAGGGCTGGCAGCGGGCACCCCAGCGAGCCTGCACCCTGCTCCCCAGCGCAGCCCCAGCCCCCGGAGGCACCGAGGGCGCTGCAGTGCCCCGGGCGGTGCCGTGCCAACGCTCACCGCACACCCCGCTCTGCCGCGGCCCCGCAGCCTCTTGGCCCGCCACTATTTTTATCAGAATTTCAGAGAAGTGCCCGGCAGTTCCTCGCCCAGGATATATTTAGGCCCATTGATGTCACAGCGGCGCGGGCCCTGCCAGGCAGAGAGGACAAACGGGCGCTGCCGCCCCATGGGGACCGCTCCTCGCGCCCCGCCGGGCTGCGTGGCTGGGGGCAGCTGAGCACCGGGGGCTGTGGGGCCGCACGGTGGGGTCTGCACAGCAGGTAGGGTCGCGGGGACGCACGGTGGGGCAGCTGAGCCTGGGGAGGTGGTGGCAGCAGGTAGGGGCGCGGGAATTGGGGAGAAATGGGCAGGGGGGCAGAGGCTGCGAGCTCCTGGGGCTCTGTGCTGCAGGTTTCAGCCCTGCTCCCATCACCAGAGCGGCTGCTGGCCCCGGAGCTGAGCCAGCCTCAGGTGGGGCAGGTCCTTCCCTGTAGGAACGTGGCTGTGCCAAGCCCGGCTCCTGCCTCCTTCGTGCCAGGGCTGAGCTGGTGGAGCTGCGTGCACCGGGCTGAGCGGGGCAGCGAGCACCAGCTCAGGGCTCACTGTGAAACCCTGGATTTTGGGGCAGTGCTTCCAGCTAACCCTGAGCGCAGGGAAGCGTTTGGAGAGCTTTGGTGGCTCCTTTCTGAGAGCTGACACATCCCCAACCCTGAGCACCACGATCCTGGGGTTTGGGGCAGCTCCGGGGAGCTCCTGCTGTAGGGGGCTGAGCCGGTGTCACCCCCGGGGCCCTCTCCCTGCCACCGCCTGCCCCGCAGCGCCGTCACCCTCTGCGCAGGATCCCCGTCGGCCAGTCCTCCAAGACCCTGATGGTGCCCGGCTGCCCCCCCAGCGGCGATAAGATGTCCACGGGCTCCATGGTGCGGAAGCCGACGCTGCACCGCTACATCAGCACCAAGGTGCTGCTGGCCGAGGGGCGCGAGACCCCCTTCGCCGAGCACTGCCGCAACTACGAGAACACCTACCGGGTAGGGGGACGGGATGGGACGGGGTGGGGGGCGCGGGGCTGCCCCCTCCCTCGCTGCCTATCGCTGCCACCCCTTGCAGATGCTGCAGACGGAGATCCAGGGCCTGAAGGACCAGGTGCAGGAGCTGCACCGCGACCTGACCAAGCACCACTCGCTGATCCGCACGGAGATCATGAGCGAGATCCTGCAGAAGTCGCTGCAGATGGACGTGCAGATCGCGGCGCACTACTCCTCGGTGGAGATGATGCGCAGCGTCTTCGAGGAGGTGGGGGCCCGACGGGTGCTCCCCCACCCCGGGGTGCTGCCCACCCGCCTGCCCCGCCGCCAGCTCCTGCTCCCTGCTGCAGGTCTGGGAGGAGACGTACCAGAGGGTGGCG